CTCCTGGGCTGCGTCCTGCCCTCTCACCCACATCTGTGCCTGGCAGGGGCGGGACCGGCGGGCCAGGCAGTGCCTTCTCCGGGCTTTCTGCTCAGCCTCCCCCGTAACCCTCCCAGTCCAGTGGGCGGCCTCCCTGAGGGACACCTCCCCTGGGCTACAGACGTGCTCGCGTTGGGGTTCTGGGTAAGGCCACAGTCCGGCCTGGCGCGGGTCAGAGATGGGGAGGCAGGGGCGAGCCCCTCTCAGCGGCGAGGACTCAGGGCTGCACAGCATCTGGGCAAATCCAGGCTTGGAGATTGTCTCCTAAGCTGCTTTGCAGTAACAACCCCATCCCTCCCAATCTCCTGGCACAGACAGGGTCCCACCCGTCCCGGGAGGCAGGGGAGGGGGCTGCAGCCACTGTGGTAGAGACAGTGTCCTGCCATGCTGTGCACTGGTAGTGAGTGGGGGACGGGGCTGAGAACTGCCGTGCCCCAGAGATCCCACCTCCCGTCCCCCCAGCACCCAGGGCCCGGCTGATGACCCCTGGTGCAAGTGCAGCCAGCCCCCATGGGACAGGTCCACACCGTCACACCCGGCACAGGTACGCCGCCCTGCCCTGGCTTCCCACCTGCCTCCCCGCCGCTACGGTAGGACCCCTCTGGGGCTGCAGGAGGGTGCTACCCAGGCCTGCCCCATCCCCAGCCTCACCGCGGTACATCCCGAAGTAGCCCTCTGAGCGGATGGTCTTGATGAGGCAGTCAGACCTACAGCCCAGGGGGTGGGAGCGAGCAGGGGATCAGTCTGGCATCCAGCAACGGCCCCAGCCCTGACCCAGGGAGGCGCTCCCCCAGGCCTGCCCCCCCTCAGTTTCCCCTTTGGTTTAAGGGGATGGGGGGGACCCAGGAGCCGAGCGCAGAAGTCTGCCCCACACCCATGGCTCCACGCCTGCTACCCGCCTCCCCGCAGGCTCACATGCTGGTGTACAGGCGCTGGCCATTCTGCTGGTTCTGCAGCCTCGTCTTGGCCAGGTCGATGGGGAACACGCAGGTGACCCCGATCAGCCCAGCGATGCCGCCATTGATGAGCTTGGCTGGCAGACTGTGTGGGCAGAGGGAGTGTCAGGACGACCTCCTGGGCCATAGGTCGGCGGGGAGGGGAGGGCAGGGGTGGGGTGAGGCTGGGTGGGGTTCTGACCTGATCTGCTTATCGGCCATTTAACTCGGGAGCACTCAGGTAGGAGCCGCAGAGGTGGATGCCAGACAGCGGAGGTGGTGCTGGAGGAGGAGGAGGGGCGGTCCTCTACTTCCAGGGGAGCTTGAAAACCAACACTTCTGTCCTAGAAGAAACAGGGAACTGGGATCAGCGGGGGTGGGCAGACCCACGGCTCAGAGGCACCCCAGAGGAGTAAGCCTCCCCAGCCTCCCTCCCAGGTCTCCTGAAGGGGCACCGAGCCCTCCCCCCAGCGCCCCCTCCCAGGCTGGGGCCCTCCGCACGTCCTGGGCGCGCAGTGTGCGGCGAAGCGTTGGCCCTTGGCCCCATCCCTGGGCCACCCGGCTTCCCCTCAAGGCGCCCCCACCGGCTGCGTGCTCCCAGCTGGCCTCGCTCGCTCACGTGCGCGGAGCCCTTTAAAGGGCCAGGCGCCTCTGGGGAGGCAGCAGCAGGGGACGGGGCCAACACGCCGGTCAGGGCGCCCCTGGACTGGGCTGTGACGGCCCCCATCCTTGAGCAGAGGCAGCGGGCACCTGCCCTCTTCAGGAGGGGGGTGAGAGCGCCCCAGCATCCACACTAGGGCTCAGCTCACAGCTGCCCGGTAGGTGCTGCCCCCACTCCCGTGGCAACTCCACGCTGGACCCTCAGACCATCCGCTCCCCTGGTGACCGGAGAAGCGCCAACACAGCCACAGCCAGCCCTGTGCCCACCCTCCCAGGAATTTCACCCCCAGACTCACACCCAACACACCCACACACACGGAGGAACCCAGCGACCAGGACCTCTGGGAGGGGGATAGCTGACCTTCCGGGGCTCCCTGGGGCCAGGCCCCCAGCTGCTCCAGGGGTGCAGAGACAAGAGGCCCCTCTCTCTAGGGGCAGGGTTGGGGAGCCAGAGCCAGCCTCGGGGGCCTCCTATGCAGGGGCACAGCCATAAAAACTGGGCTGTGGGGTCCTCCCCCCCACACTGTGGCCCCCTCAGAGGCCAGCTGTCACTGGCTCCCACCCGAAGCGCTGCCACCCAGGGTCACACGGCTGGCTCACACCTGTCGCCCCCCCGAGAACTGGTGACCTTCACCTCAGCTTTCCTGGGCCGGGATGTCCCCTGCCTCCTCACCAGCCCCTCCGCCCCCCGCCGCGGTCCCGCTCACCCCAAGGTGCACCGAACCGGCTCCTCCTCCGCGACTACAGCCCGCGGGCGGGCGGAGGAGATCCAGCGGCCGAGGGCGGTGCCGCCTGCGGGGATTGGCGGCGGGGCGGGGCGGGGCGGGGCGGGCCTGAGGGGGGTGGTGACTTTCTCTTTCACTTTGGGCGGGATGAGGCTCCCTGCCCCTGTGGGAGAAGGGACGAGAAGGGGGTGTGACAGCTTCTGGGAGGCAGGGACTGGCCTCGGAGCCCCCGCCAGCCCGTGGGGCAGTGGGTCAGACTCGGGCTGACCCAGCCAAGCCACGCAACCGGTTCACAGGGACCCCAGCCCCCGACCACCGTGCCCCCAGCTGCCCCATGGGTTTCTGTCTGCAGCCTGCAGGCTGGATCTGCCTAGGGCCCTGGGACCCCAAGGATAGGGCTCTCTCTGTGCCCAGGCATGGGGGATCTGGTGCCATGGGGTGGAGATGGGTCTGTGTCCACTCGTGCCTGTGGGACTTGTGGGTCTTTTGAGGGAAGGTGAACTTCAGGGAAAACTCACGCTGGAGCAGAGAAAGACATGCTTGTCTGCTGGAAAGGCCAGGGAGGGGGTGGCTGGGCCTCAGAGGCTACTGGTTGCCACCCATAGGCCTGTTCACCTGGCAGGTCCAGAGAGCATGGGAACCAGTACTCCCAGAGCCCTCTGCCCTGCCAAGCTGCACCCCCCCGACTCGCCCAGGGCCTCAGTGCCAGGACCTGCTTCTCCGTGCTCCAGCCTGCAGAGAGGAGTCTGACCTCTGCACTTCAACCTGACCCTCTCTTCCCACCCCCACCCTCCCCCACCCTCCAGGTGTAGACTGGCCACAGCCGTCTCTCTCCGCTGTCCCAGACCCTTGCGGGCAAGGTCCACATCCTGCCCTATGGGGACTGAATGAGCCCTGCCTCCCGTCTGGGGTAAGGGACATCTGGGTGATGGGGGCCCCGGAAGTCAGACAGACTATCCAAGGTGGGGAGGCGAGCAGCTGCCCCAGGAAGACAGGCAGCCCTGGGGTCCCCCATCACACCCTGCCGGCTGGAGTGGGGAAGACGGGTGCAGACCTGAGAACAGTGGGGGCGGTGGGCTCTGCCGGGAGACGACTGGCAAGGGGTCCTCCGGACCCTGGATGCTCCTTTTTCTGTCCTCACTCAGTGTTCCCACACCCTGCTCATGAGACAGCTTGGAGGGCCCTCCCCTTGCGCCCCCATGTTGCCATAGAAACCTGGCAGCCCCAGCCAGGCCTGAGGCCCCAGGGCTGTCAGCCCTCTCTGTACCCCCTCCGGTTCCCCGCAGCCTGGTAAACTGGGATTGCAGGCAAGGCTGTGGACACCGCAGCTCACAGAGACCACCCACAGGACGATGCTGCTGCTTCCAGGCCCTCCAGAGGTAAAATCTCCCACAAATGAAGCCGCTGAGCTCCCCACCCCCAAAAAAGGCAGTGGGGGTGAGGCTCAGAGCCTGGGACCGGCTATTTGCTCCCCATTCAATCTTCCCCAGCGCCTTCCCCCCGGGGAGGTGCTTTCTGTCCAGCCGTCTGGAGGGGCGCCAAGCCGGTGACAAAGGAGGCGCGGGGTGGGAGTTCAGGGCTCCGCTTGGAGGCTGGCTCAACTCCCCGTCTCCCTGGAGGGGGTCCGGACGGGGCCCGGACCGCCACGCTGTCCCCCTCCAGGCGATGGCGACTCCAGCCAAGCACGTGTCCCCATACGTCCAGCAGGGCCCCACGTGTGTCCCCCCTACGGCCGGGCTTCCGTTCCTTGGCCACCGGCCCCTGTCTCCTACCCCGCGGGGACACGTGTGCGCGGGGAGCGCGCCCGGCACCGCCCGGGGCCGAGCACGGCCTCCCACACTCCAGCGGCAGCGGGTCGCAGCATCCGCCGGCGCGGGCCCCGCATGAGCCGCCTCGTCCGGGCAGATGTCACCTCCCACAGCCGTCGTGGTACCCCTCGCCCCCGCAGCCGGGCTGCACTCGGGTGGGCGCCGCGGATAGGAGCCGCCCCGCCGGCACTCACCGCGCGCTCTGCCGCCGCCGCCGCCGCTCTCGCCTCCCCGCCGCGCCGCGCGCCCGGCTTCACCTAAGCGCGGGGGCGCGTCCGCTCGGCGCCGCGCGCGCTCCGCCCCCGGTCCTCGGCCCGCTCGCGGTCTCCGGCTCCCTCTCCTGGCCGCCGCGGCCACTGCGCCCGGCGGGCCACAGCCCAGCGCCAAGCCCTCACCCTAGGTCCCCAAGGGTCTTCCCTGCGTGTCCGGCCTCGCGCCCGTGCATGGGCCGGTGACCAGGGACTACTCCCGTCGGGCCAGCGGATGGCGAGGTGCGCTGGGACGAGGTGTCCTAGGGGAGGAGCGGTGCTGGGAGGGGACTGAACTGGCCAAGCCCCTGCCCCTCACCGCCACCAAAGGGCAGATATGCAATCCCGCACAGGGTGACTTTGTATCCATCGGGGCTGCGGCCCTTACTTTGTAGCTGGGGCCCCCTGTCTCCCAGAGATCAGGACCAAGAGGAGGCGCTGGGCCGGAGACAGGCAGGAGCGAGGGCTGTGGGGAAGCCTATGCACAGGCCCCCTCGCAGCAGGGGCCAGGCCTCTGATCTGGCCTCCCCGTGCCTTCCACCTGCCTCTCCACCCAGCAAATAAACTGAGCTCTGAGACAGCAGCCAGGATGGTGCACGTTTGTTACACAAGGAGTAGAGGGTCACTGGCCCCATACCCAGGGAAAGTTTGAAAGTGGGAGCCTCTAACCATTGGCCAGAGGATGTCAGAGACCAGCCCAAAATCGGTAGGTTCTAGGTCTGGGCAGGCTCGGGGGATTGTGATGCTGAAGAGCCAGGTGGGCCGAGGTCCCCGGGGGCCAGGCTTGTGCGCTGGATGCCCTCCTGGTACTTGCGGCGGCCAAGCTCCAAGACAGCCCGCACCTCTTCGGCCACATCCCGCCGGTCACTCTGCTCCAGGGCCTCCACGAGGAGCCCCACAGCCCCTGGCTGCCCGGCCTGGCGCTCAGCCCAGGAGAAGAGCATATGGCGGATCTGCCCATCCAGGTCGTCCCTGGGGGGACAGGGAACGGTGAGGGAGGGGCCCGGCCCAGGACCACCCTCCCAAGATGGGTTCCTTCCTCCCTGGGCCAGGGGCGGCCAGACCCTCCCTTTCCTGACTGTTTGCCCTGCCCCCACCTCCCCTGGACAGAACTTCAGCCAGCCTCCAGTAGGCAGGCCAGCAGCGGGAAGGGAGGCTCAAAAGAACTCACCGGAACTCATGCCGGATTCGCTGCAGCTCACGGTAGGGCAAACCCAGGTGCAGGGCCACGGCTGGCCAGTCAGGGCCCAGGCGCCCGGCCACATTTAGCAGGTTGCTCTGTGTCAGGAACCCAGTCTCGGCGTCGCCCAGGTTCAGAGGTGCCAGGGAGAGGCCAGCCCCCTGCCCTGGGCCCTTGGATCCCCGCAGTCTCTGTGGGGAGGACGCAGTGGCAGTGAGCCCTGGCCCCGCCCCCGGCTCCAGCCCATACCCCTGGCCATCCCCTTCCCCCTCCACACACGCTCCCCCCGCCAGGCCGCACCGGCAGCTTGAGGGGCAGAGTGGCCATCCACGGGGCGTCTGCACCCCTCTTCTGCCGAGCAGCCTCCGCCTCCTCAGGCACCTCCTCTGGCACCTCTCCTCGGTAGAAGGACACCTGTGGGTGGGATGAGGTGGGCTTCAGTGCTCTGGCCTCGGCCCAGGCAGCCCGGGGGGCCCTACCCCGTTGGCCCACCTGGCCCCTCACGGCCTGAGCCCGCCGGTCCAGCGCTGTGGTCACGTACACCTCCTTCAGGTTCTTCAGGTGTGAGTAGAAGACGAAGCACACCCTGCCCTCCACACAGTCTGGACGGTCTGGGGGCAGGGGGTAGGCTCAGCAGGGACTGTAGGGGCAGACCCCAGGGTCCCTTCTCTGGGTGCAGGGGGCCTACCGGCATCCACGTTGATGCCCCTCTCGAAGGCAGCGAAGAATTTCTCCCCCTCAAACATCTCCACGGTGTCTGAGGGCTCCGGGCCACGGTAGCGCTCCAGCAGCCGCCTCAGGGTGCTGTCCACCTGCAGGGGCGACCCACTGGCTGCGAGCCCACTGCCCTGCCCTGGCCCCTGGCCCCCACCCCGCCCTCCCAGCCCTCTGCCCCCGCCCCCACCTTGTTGCGGGGCAGGCACTGCAGCAGGACTTGCTCGGGGTCCCGGCGCCTCTGCAGCGCGATGAGGCTCACGTGGTGCAGCCGCAGCCGCTCCCAGGCCTTCCGCGCCAGGCCCCCCACGCAGGTCTTGGTGGTGTACCAGAGCCAGTACCTGGGAAGGCTGGGGGTGAGCGGGGTGCACAGGCCGGGGCAGGGGTGGGGGACCGAAGAGGCGGAGGGAGGGGGCACTGACCAGGAGAAGCGCGTGACCTGGAAGCGAGCATACAGGTGGGTGAGCTCCAGCGCCACCTGCGCCGTGATGTCGTCCCAGGTGGCCGCGGGAGGGGCCCGGTACAGCAGGTGCAGGTGCGAGCGGTCCAGACTCAGGCCTGTGGGTGGCAGGGGGCCACAGGCTGAGGCCTCCCTGCCCGGGGCCCCCCTTCTGAGCACTGTCCCCCCCACCCCGTGGCTACAAGTCCAGGAGGCCACACAGCCGCCTCTCACCTGTGACACCGGGGGGCAGAGGCAGTTGCACGGTGACTGGCCGAAGGAAGCTTGGGGGGCCGCTCTGGGAGAGGTAGAGCAGGGGGCTGGCGGCTGCCTCAGGCTCTCCCAGCAGGGCCGGCAGTTCTCTGCTGCCCACGCGCACCACCTGGAGCAGAGGGCACCCAAGCGATCACCTCTGTGCCCAGGCACCACCCGCCACCCGTGGCAGCTGCCCTGCCCGTACCTGCATGCGGGCATGACGGGGCTCCTCAGTGGCCCCAGGGGGGAATGTGACCTTGACCCCAGGATGTCCTGAGGAGCAGAGCAATGTCCCCTCTGGTGGCACCAGGCAGGCGTCAGACACAGGGCGCGAAACCACGAAGAACCAGGAGAAGTGAGGAACCTGGCAGTGAGCCCAGAGCCGCTGGGCGTGTGGGGGGCAGAGGGACATGGTCAGGGGCCTCGCCGGGCATGGCGGGGCAGAGGGACAGGGTCAGGGGCCTCGCCGGGCGTGGGGGGGGCAGAGGGACAGAGTCGGGGCTTCGCCGGGCATTGGGGGGGGACAGTTGGGCAAGGGCAGAGATGCTCCCTTCCCAGATGGGCCTGGACAGCCCTCACCTTGGGCGCCTCTTCCTCCAGGTGGGTCTCCAGGTCACTCCAGCTATTGTCACTCAGGGTCCTGACCACCACCTCACGGCAACGCCGGGCCCGTGGGGGCACAAAGAGCAGCCACAGGCCCACGTCCTGCCAGGCAAGGGTGCTGTGAGTGCCAGGGCCACGGTGGGGCCCTCCTCACCTGCCCCGACCCGCCCCGGCCGTACCTTCTGGAAGGCCACCCCGTGGGGCTGCAGCTCCAGGACACCACTGAGCAGAGAGTCATGGGGACCCAGAGGGACGAGGCGGGGCTCTGGCAGCCACAGTCGATAGCGGATGGTAACAGGGGTAGCAGTGGCTCCCACAGGGAACTGCAGGCGGACACCGCAGGCCAGGGTCACAGAGCAGCCCAGGGAGGTCACGGCGAAGCTGAGGGAGACAGGATGGACATCGGGTCAGACGCAGCAGGGTCCCACATGTCTGAGTCTGGCGCCCTGGGCAACTCTAGGAGACCCCCAAGGCACAGGCAGGTGGACAGGGTGACAGGGTGACAGGGTGGACAGACGCTTTTGCAGCCCGGCCCCTCCTCCACACCATACCTGTCCAGATCTGAAGTCAGCAACAGCCTGGGCATTTCTGGGACCACGGGTGTCCCTGTGGAAGGACAGATGGGCTGTTAGGATGGTGATGACACCTGCGTCCTGTCTGTGGTCTGCCCCCGTCCCCACCAGTGAGCCTACCTGGAGGACTGTGGGGGTCGGGGCTAGGCCCACCCAGGGGGTTTCCTTGCAGTCGCACGAAGGGGGCATCCAGTAGCTCGGGGGGGACGTCCCGGAGCTGGTTGTCCCTCAGGTCGAGCCGGGCGAGCAGCGGGAGACGGGCCAGGCCGGCAGGTACCGAGGCCAGAAGGTTGCTGTGCAGAACGAGGAACCGTAGGGACCGCAGGCCCGCTGCAGGGGTGCCAGCTTAGGGCCCGCAGAGGCCACACAGGGCCACCCCAGCCCTGCAGCGCCAGGCCAGGCCGCTCGCGCTGGGGCCTCCCAGAGAAGCCCTTTCAGTCTCCGCCCTTTGGCTGGACGAGAGAGCTTGGGCAGGCCTGCACAGGGAGCCTCAACAGCCAGGGAAGTGGGGGGCAAGCAAGGGCTGCCGAGGAGGGCGAAGGCTCAAGGTGGGCCAGCCTGTGTGCGCGAGGCCCTGCGCAGCAGAGAGGGCTGTGGGACAGGGCAGGCTGGGCAGTGGCCGACGGGCCATCAGGCCCATCAGGCCCGGGGAGCCAAGGCTGCGACTCACCAAGGGAGGCAGGGAGGCCCTGCAGCCGGTTGGAGGCGAGGTTGAGCTCGGCCAGGCTGCTCAGGCCTCCGATCTCAGGGGGCAGAGCATCCAGAAGGTTCTCAGAGAGATCGAGGCGCTGCAGGCTGGACAAGGACCCCAGGGCTGTGGGCAGCGTTCGCAGGTGATTGTGGGTGGCAGCGAGGAAGGTGAGGGCGGCGAGGGCCCCCAGGGCCTCAGGCAGCTCTGAGAGGCAGTTATGAGAGAGCAGGAGGGCATCCAGGCCACACAACTGCGGGACACAGGCTGGCAATGTCTCCAGGCTGTTGAAGCTCAGGTCCAGGTGGGCCAAGTGGGCTAGGCCACTCAGGATGGCGGGCAGCGTGGCGAGGGATCCCCGGAGGCAGGCACCCAGAGCATCCCGATGTTGCCCACCTGGGTGGGGGAAAGGCAGACATGGCTCTCAGAGCCAGAGTCCCAGGTCCCAACTCAGTCCTGCCAGCCAGGGAAATAGGTGCATGGAAACACAGACCTCCACCCCAACCCCACTTAGACAGCGAGAGATGGACACAGATACTGGAGAGTCACCAGCAAATGAAAGGCAGCAACAGACAACACAGCCTCGTCTCGGCTGACAGTCACCACCCGTGACCCACCCCAGGAGAAATACCCACACTGGGGTCTGCTGGAGACCCCACTGGCAGCTGCCAGGTCCAGGAGCCCAGGCTCAGCCAGCTTCCTCTCGGGGTAAAAGGGGTCGGGCAGTGCTGTGCAAAGAACAGCGATGAGGCTGGGACCGGGGTTTGCCTTTCAGGACCAAGAAGCAGAGTCAGGAGCCAGCGATGCGGCTGGGACCAGGTGGGGCTCACCTTTGAGGACCAGGGAGCGGAGGCGTGGCAGGCTCCAGGGCAGACGGGCCAGGGTGGCCTGCAGCAGCTGAGGGTCCTCGTGGCCACTCAGCTGCAGGAACTCCACCTCCAGCAACTGACGGACCTGCTGGGCACACAGGTGCAGCAGCCGGTGGCAGCCCCTGGGGTGTAGGTCCAGGCTCAGCCGGTTCCCAGCCAGGAGAGGGGGCGCCCCCAGCCTCGCATCCACAGCATCTGTAACGGCTCCTGCCGCATCTTCTACAGCCGCTGTCTCGGGCTCCAGCCCCTCCGCCACTGCAGCCATCGCCCACCGGCTGTCCTCGGGGGCCAGACATGTCCCAGCTTGCCAGGCAGGCCTGCTCAGGCAGGGCCCAGGGAGGCTGCAGAGTCAGGGGGAGGAGCGGGTAGGAGGGGGCTGGGCGTCCTCTAGCCAGAGGAAGGGGGACTCTGGCTGGGGAGAGCTCTTGAGCCAGGCCAGCTGGTCCAGAGCCCAAAGCCTAGGCTGCTGGACAGATAATCGCTGAAATGGGACCGGGGAATAGGACTCCCCAAGGCTGGGAAGGCAGCAAGCAGGGAGACCTCTGTGTGCAGAGGGGCCTGGGGACATGCTTGAGGGAGAGGGGAAAAGTGAGGCTTCACGTCCCAAATCTGGAAACTTGACAAGGGACTCCTAGAGGTGTCAGGTCCTATTCCACCCCCCACCCCCTCTGGGTCCAGCCCCACCTCCAACCTTCACATTCCTCGGCTTTGACCAGAGGTCCCGGCTCTCATCTAACACGTGGGGCCGGTGTTCCAGGCAAGGGCCGGGTGATCGTGCCCGCGTATGTCAGAGCAGCGAGTGTGAGGGGGTTCCTAAGGACCGGACCCCACTTCCTGGCGCCTGGAGGTGGGCTCCCCGCCACTTCCAGCTCGCACCTCGGTCCGCGGAGAAGGTCGGTGCACCGCGCAGTCGCGGCCCCCACCGCTCGGGTAGGGTCCCGGGCGGGAGAGCGCGCCCTCCCCGGCGCGCCCGCGACCCGCGCGTCACCTGCTCCCGGCGGCGCGTTTCCGGGTCCCGCCGCATCGGAAGCTCGCCTCACATCCGGCGAGGGTCCGCAGGCCGGGATCTGTGTCCCTCCCGCCCCGCCCGCCCGCCCGCCCTCCGCCGGTCGCCGCCCTGCTGCACTCAGCTTCCTGTAGGCCTGCGTGCCTCTGCCGTCCAGCCTTCCGTGGGAGGGCCCGCGTTGCGCACCACCAAACCCAACCTTTCAGAGGTTCTCTCGGGCCCTGGGCCCGCTCAGCTCTAGGGCTGTGCATTCTCGGCCCCATGCTGAAATGAGCTAGTGCGATCTCTAGCTGCAGGGGGTATTGGGTGCTGATCAAAGCTGCTGCCCCACACCACCTCCTGCCAGAGGACAGCTCTGAGAATGTCCCTAGCCAGCCCCAAAGACCTCCTCTCAAGCCCTGCAGAGCCTGGGCCCCAGCTGCAATGGGCCTCCTTTTAGGGTGATCACTGTGGGTCACATGCCCCCAGCAGTGGACCTCCTCACATGCTGCCTCCTATCTTTCCGCATCTCACAAGGAAGGAAAAGGCGGCTCTGAGAGATCAGATGTTGCCCAAGGCCACTAGCTGGTGAGTGCCAAAGCCAAGAACCTCAAACCAGGTCTGTCTGACTCTCAAGAGAACCTTCCCCACTCCCGCTTCCTCACCCCGCACAGTCGGTGCCTATAAACGGACACATGAACACATCTGCTTCTGCCTGTTCTGCCCCAAATGATACCGTGTGCACCCTCTTTCCTCCACCCTCGCCAGCTACCGCCATCCCTCCTACCCGGATGGGCAGTTCCCACCAGGCCTCCATTCTCCCCAGCTCCTATCCCCCCTTCAGTTTCCACATAGCTGCCAGAAGAATTTAAAACAAACAAACAAAAAACCAATCACAGGAACATTATTCAGTCTTAAAAAGAAATGAAATCCTAACACATGCTATAACGTGTTTGAACCTTGAGAGCATTACTCTAAAGAAACAAGCCAAACACAAAAGGACAAATGCTGTATGACTCCACTTCTGTAAAGTCTCTAGAGCAGTCAAATACATAGAAAAGGAATGTAAAATGGTGGGGGCCAGGGGCTGGGGGAGGGGAATGGGGAGCTATTGTTTAATGTGTATAAGAACTTGAGAAGTTCTGGAGCTAGATGGGGGTGATGATTGCACAACAATGTCAATGCACGTAGTGCCCCTAAATTGCATGGTTAAAATGGTAAGTTTTACGTTATGTATTATTTTACCATTTAAAAATTTAAATAAAAACAATCACAACACTTGCTTGTGTGATTGCAGTAAAGTCCCATCCTTCCCAAATGGTTTCCCCACTTTACCGCAGCTGTGTGACCCTGAGCAAGAAAACCTTTCTACGCCTGACTTCATCTATACGATAAGGATACCGTTTGGCTTGCGTTAACAAACCAGTGCTTGGCGCTAACACGCGGGTTCACCTGCTGTCAGAGCCCGCATGGGCTGGCTGCTGCCTCTGAACCCATCTCCGGCCACCTTAGTTGGGCCTTTGCATCTGACCCCTGGGGGCTGATGCTCGCCCCACATCTTCGCAGGGCCGGCTCCTTCTCATCCTTCAGCCCCGTGACAGTGTCAGCCTGGGACTGCCTCGTTTATTTACTTTGTGTGTCCGCGCACTAGAACCTGAGTTCTGCGGAGGCAGAACCGGGCCTGTTCCCTCTCAGGACTGACGCCAGCCTGCAGCAGGGTTCCTGACACGGAGAGTGAATGAGTGACGTGTGCTACGTCCGTGTGGACCCTGAGGTCTGTCCGGAGCCCACAAGGCCAGGGCAGGGGGTGGGGGTGGGGGGAGTCACGTGGGCTTCGGCACTCTTGGCTCCGCTCCTCGGGACGGCGGTGACAGGGCCTCCCAGCTTCGGCTGGAGCTCCCACCAAGGCGCTGGGGGGAAGCAGCAGCTCGGATCGGCGGTGTGAGCGCGCGGAGCAGCTCGCCCACCCCACTGGGCGAGCCGGACAGCGAACTCCTGTTCCCGCGGCTGGGAACCACCTGAGACCCGGAAAGGCAGCGGGCTGGACCAGGGCAATAGCGCCCGGGCCACGTGCGGCCCGCGCAGGCAGCAGCGTAACCACGCTTCCGGTAGCCATGCACCATGGGACTTGTAGTTTGCCGGCCGCGTCAGCCTCTCCCGCAGAGATGCGTCCTGGGCGTGAAGGCTGCGCTGCATGGTGGGAGCTGTAGGCGCCGCGTGGCATCCTGGGAGCCCTAAAGGGAAAAACTCTGCACTTCGGACTCGCGTCTCGCTCTGCCCCGCTTCCCCCAGGGATCTCGGGGGCACTCACCCCACTGTATACAAGAAGGCGTCCCGGAACTGCCTTTCGCCTTTGCGGTGGTGGCTGCGGGACAAGACGGGATAATGGCGTCACCTGCGTCCTCCTGGGCTAGGCACCGTCTGACATCACTAGGAGGCGCCCTGAAGGGGCGCTGCGCGCAGGTTCCGGAGGCTTCTGGGTAGCGAATTATCCCCGCCCCCCGCACCGGCGCCTTCCTTTCCGTGCCTAACGCCGCCGAAGTCGCACGCGCGAGGCTTCTCCGCCGCCGCCAAGTTAGTGGGGCGGGCAGGCCGGGGCGCGGGCCGGGCCGGGAGTGCCGCGGAGGGAGGGCGGGCGGGGCAGGGCGCGAGCCGAGCCTCTGCGGGGTCCCCGGACCGAGCCACGCGCGGCCGCGCACGGGCCGGGGTGGGGGCGGGAGGTCTCCCCATAACGCCGCCGCCCTCTCCTCGCGCCGCAGGATGCGCTACGTTGCCTCCTACCTGCTGGCCGCCCTCGGGGGCAATTCCTCCCCCAACGCCAAGGACATCAAGAAGATCCTGGACAGCGTGGGCATCGAGGCGGACGACGACCGGCTCAACAAGGTAGCCGCCTCGCTGGGGCCCGAAGCCCCCGGTCTGCTCTGTACTCCGTACAGAGGGACCCCTCCCTTACCCGACCCGGCGTTTCCCTTTGGGAAAGTGTAGGTTCCTGTTGATTTCTGCCAGCCCATATGGTTTTGGGGTTGCCTTGATGTACTGGTACAGCCCGAAGGAAGAAAAAGTGGGGGTGAAGCCAGATCTCAGCGTGGCTCAGTAGAAACACAAGTCACGTGTAATTGAAGGTTTCTTAATTTTTTTTTTAATGAGAGCGGTGATGTTCATCTTGATCTGGTTTTCTTTCACCCAACTTGGTGAAAGTTATTTTGACATGTGTTGAGTGTAAAGAGAGACATTTTGCATCTTTTCTCAGCAGTAAGTTTTGGTGTTAGTTTTTACATGCAGGGCGTCTCAGTTCACCTGTCCTGCGTCGGTCGTGACGGCTGTGCTGGGTCCAGGGGTGTGATGGTAGGCCTCTCGTAAACTAGGCCACTCGTCTCTTTTAGGTCATCAGTGAGCTGAACGGAAAGAACATCGAGGACGTCATTGCCCAGGGTGAGGTTCTGTCCGGGGCTTTCGTTTTCGTGGTCCATTCTAATTCCTGCCGGTCAGCCTGTGACCTGCCAGGTTTCGCTTGTGGACCAGAGCACCTTAGAAGCCTTACCCAGAGGAGTGAGCGGGGTTTCAATGGGCTCAAGCCGCGGGCGCTTCTAGACAGTTCCGGGACAGGGCGCCCGTGCTCTCACTGGGCTTTTGTAAACAAGTCTTTCCACCCCTTCTTGGGGTGCTAGGGCTGACCACAGGCCCCTGCCCTGTGATATCAGACTGGAGTATGTGGGACTTGTCTGGAAGTTGAGCTCTTGGGGAGCTGTTTCTGTCCTTGGGTCCGTGACGGGGCAAAACCAGTTCAGCAGACAGTCTGATCTGTGAGCTCGCTGCTGGACACTGGGGCAGCGGACTTTACCTGCCTGATTGTAAACATGTTTGTCTAGCTTACCTCCAGGGTAGGGCGCTGTGGTCTTGTAGCCCTGCTGGAGGGACTCCTAGAAGCCAGTTTCTGGCAGTGGCAACAGACTCTCCTGTGTCGGAGAACAGGAACCTATGACGTGGATCCTAATACGTTGGGCTAAGTGTTTGGTTACTTTTTTTTTTTTTTATTTTGTGGTATGCGGGCCTCTCACTGTTGTGGCCTCTCCCGTTGCGGAGCGCAGGCTCAGCGGCCATGGCTCACGGGCCCAGCCGCTCTGCGGCATGTGGGATGTTCCCGAACCAGGGCACGAACCCGTGTCCCCTGCATCTGCAGGCGGACTCTCAGCCACTGCGCCACCAGGGAAGCCCTCGTTACTCTTGAGTAACATTGAGGCCGGGCTCCTGCTGTGGTCTCACCTCTCCCTTCTGATTTCTGTAGGTATTGGCAAGCTGGCCAGCGTGCCAGCTGGCGGGGCTGTGGCCGTCTCTGCTGCCCCAGGAGCTGCAGCTCCTGCTGTGGGTTCTGCCCCAGCCGCAGGTAAGTGGAGGCTCAGGCAGCTGTCTCTGCAGACACCCTGGGGTCTTTGCTGGGAGTGTGGCCTGCACCGCGGGCATTTCTCACCATGCTCTTTCTCCCCACAGCAGAGGAGAAGAAGGAGGAGAAGAAGGAGGAGTCAGAAGAGTCAGATGACGACATGGGGTTCGGCTTGTTTGACTAGAGCCCACACCTCTGCAAATAAAAATCTGTTGACGTATTTCTTGAGCTGCCTGTGAGCCCTTCGTCAGAGTGTGGTGTCTGCATCCTAGTCTCATCCCGGGACGAACCAAGGCCCTTGCGCGATGAGGTGGAGCGGGTTGCCTGAAGAGCCAGGAGTGGAGTGCCTGGACGGGGGGCACTTTCTGTGTGTCTTGAGTGTGGCCAAGCCTTGAGTCCCCTTCTTGGGCATGGTCCTGGCTCCTGTGGACTGCCAGGGCCTTCCTAGGAAATGAGGCCTTCAGGGGGACACCCATGAACACTTGAAAAGCCGGGGTGGGTGGTTTCTGCTCTGTGAGGTGGGTCAGGCTAGTTGAGGTCAGCAGCTCCCGCAAGGCTGATAGAGCCTCAGTTAACGCACAGGAGATGTGCTGGTGGGTGTGTGGTCCCCAGATGTCAGTGTGGGGGTCAGTGCCCCGGCTCCACCTCTCCCCTGAGCAACTTGGACTTAGCTCCTCTGAGCCTGTGTCCCCAGCTGTCTGGTGGGCCAGTACCTTGGCTGGGTAGATTCAGAAGTGGTTTGTGGGCAGCAGTGTTGGGCTGCGTGCTTGCTTGTCGGGCCTGCCCATGCTCTTTCTGCCAGGCTCTGGCCTAGAATGTGGGGCATAGGGGAGAGGCCCTCCCACTGCCCACCCAAGCACCATCCTGGCCCTGCAGTGCAGCTATTGGCAGTCGCCCACCAGTGCCAGGCCACCCAGTAGATTCTCAGCTTTGCTTTCTGAAGGCTGTGGTGTGGTGGGCACCTGCCGTGTGCCCACCACATGGTAGGCCGGTGGGAAGGAATCGCTTCTATGGGCTTGTAGTTCTGGAGGAGAGAAATGAGGGTGGCACGAGACAGCAGGGCCGGGTGCGTGGGGGGCCCTCCCTCAGGAAGAGGCCCCAGGGCAGGGGTGTTCATGGGTGGAGGGAGAGGGCTGAGGGCCTTTTTGCTACCCAGAGAAGTGGGGATTAGAAGAGGGCCTCGGGGGAGGGGGTGTGGGACATGGGGCTAAGGGGGAATGAGGAGTCCTAGCAGTGTGGGCTGCAAGGGGAAAGTATGAGTGGGGTGAGAGGTGGGGCTGTGGATACCCAGAGACACAGGTGGCAAGGGGCCATGGTCCAAGGTTAGGGTAGAGACGGCCCACCAGAGGAGTGACGCAGGGTCCAGGGGCAGAGCTCACAATCCCAGCCTTGGAGGCTGAGCAGAAGGGCCCTATGTGGGCCAGAGGACACCGTGGGAGTGGGGGCATGACACCTCCCTGGCAGTCAGCAGATACCAGGGCTTCTCCTCTGTGCAGACGGGGAGGGGGGCAGGTCCACTCCCACCCCCAGCCAGGATTCTAGGAAGATCCACCCTGTTCCTGGCTGCAGAGCTCCTGGGGCCTGGTGGGAGGGAGGAATATGTACCCAAAACAAGTCAGCCAGGGTGTGGAAATGGGAGCAGAGGTCTCCCGGCACTGGGGTAGTGCCACCCTCCAAGCCCCACAGTTCCTTGGAAACGGGGAGGGCATGGGCTCTGGCCTCTCCTTGGAGCAGGTTGCAGGGATGGCCTGCTTAGGTTCTTGGCTCAGCTTGCACCGTCCCAGTCCTCCTTGGCACCCTGGTGAACCCCTGAACTTTGCAGGCTGGCCCTGGGGGTCTGTTCCATCCCCACTGTGTCACACCCCTTGTCCCCTGCTGCATCCAGCAGCATCCCCAAGGGCTCAGCCACCCTTATGGGGCCACATCCTCTGCCCTGCGCCTCCATCCCACCCAAGCATTTGGGGTTCTAAGTCAAATTCCCTCATCCCCCTGCCTTCCCCATTCCCAGCATCCACAGCACCCAGACCTGGGCTCCCCTCTCCTAATTCCCCCACCCAGGGCCTTTGAACGTCCTGTAGGTGGGTGGCCCTTTGCTTTCCCATGTTAATAGTGTCCACACACCTCTTCGCCCTTCTCAGTCCTTATCTGAACTTAATAGAAACCATCTCTCCCACTCCCTCCCCCAAGTGGGGCAGGGTTTGTGTAGACTTTGCTCACTGCTCACGGGCACCAGTGCTGGCCCCCATGCCAGGCGCACATGGTGCTAAGCATGGGTGGCTTGGGGCACAGAGGTGGAGGACTGGGTGGCATGACGCCAGAAGGCCCTGTCCTGGGGAGGCCCTGCTCTGGCTTCACCTGGGCCTCGGGGCTGGGGGTCGTGCAGCCCCAAGCTGGGTCCTGAGCCAAGCTCCAGCCAGAGGAGCTAGTGTTCCTGGGGAGACGGATGCACACTGGCTGCCCACTGCCCAGCACAGACAAGCCCCTCGTTTGGGAGGTGGGGTGAGGTGCAGGGCTGGCCCCTGGATCCAAGCCAGTTTAGGCCTGCCCTACAGTCCAGGAGAAAAATGCGGAAGCTGGCAGGAGGTGACATCACCAGGAATGTTCCACCTGTTGGGGCAATTAGTGAGGCGGGACAGGGCTTGAGTCATACCCACGTAGACCCCACAGCCTGAGGAGCTGGGGCAGGACGCAGGTCGAACCCAGGTTAGTGCCAAGGTGGAGCTGGGCGCGTGGCGGGCAGGGCTGGGTCGGGATGTCCGGTGTGGGTCTGCCACGCCGGTGTTATCTCTAGAAGTCTATGTGTGATTCGCGTGCGCCCTGTATGTTCATGGGTAAGTCTGTGGATAAGTCGGTGCGTCCTTCAGGTCCCTGACCCTCGGCGAGCTCCGCAGTGTCCCGGGTTGGTGTTGTAGGCCGACCCCCGAGGGAGGGGGCGGATGCTGCCCAGACAGCAGGGCCCTCCCCTCGTGGGTATCCAGCTCAGACTGCGGTCGTCCCGGACCTGAGCTCGACCATCTCCACACCTCCGGGCCACTTGGTGTCCCCTCCCGCCGTCGACGATGGCGGGGTGGGGAGGTGGGGAGGCAGCGGGAGGTCAAGGTTGTGGACTCTCGTCCGGGCCTGGCCAGTGTCTTTGGCGGGGCCGCAGGTGTCGCGTCTCAGGGCCCAGTGGCCTGGACAGCGGGCGGCGAGGTGGTGGTGGTGGTGGTGGGGCGGGGACGGGGTCTCAGAGCCTGGGCCGGGGCTCCGGGCGGGGTCTCTGGGTCGAGACGGGCTTCCGGAGAGGGGCGTGGTCTCGGGGCCGGGCTTCGGCCTGGGTGGGCCCTCGGGGCCAGGGACGGGGCTCCAGGGCCCGCCCCGAGGGCGCGGCCGTTCCCCGCGCGTCCCAATTGGGCCGCGCGTGCCGGCTCCGCCCCGCCCCCCGCTAAAATCACCGCCACCGCCTCCGCCTCCTCCCCCGGCAGCTTCTCCAACTCCCCCGGCTGAGACCGCGAGCCACAACGACTGCGGGGCCGGCCGGCCGGCTCTGGCCCCGGCTCCAGAGCGAGCGGCGAGCGCGCGGCGCACAGCAAGGCCGGCCGCCCGCGGAGCCCGGAAGCCCGGCGGGCCGCCGCGATGTTCCCCAGGGAGACGACATGGAACATCTCGTTCGCAGGCTGCGGCTTCCTCGGTGTCTACCACATCGGCGTGGCCTCCTGCCTCCGCGAGCACGCGTCCTTCCTGGTGGCCAACGCCACGCACATCTACGGCGCCTCGGCCGGGGCGCTCACGGCCACGGCGCTGGTCACCGGGGCCTGCCTGGGTGAGCGGGCCGGCGGGGGCTGGCGTGTGGTCTTCGTGAGCGCGGAGCGCCCCGCTCCGTCCGCACAGAGCAGCGGTCCGGGCCGCGGGGACAGTGGGGGCCTTGGGGTCTCTGCCCGGGACCCCGACCGAGGCTCCAATGCCGGACGCCGACGAGGGGCGGGGCCTGCCTTGTTTTCTTCCGAGGGTGCCCGGGGATTGGGGTAGGGCCCTGCGCGCCTCTGAGCGGAGGCTGCCGCCTAGGGCCCGCCCCTCGGGCGCAAAGGTTGGGGGGCGGGCAGGTGCAGCACGAGCTCTTTCGTTGGAAAGAGAAAGTAGTTCGTGGGCGGGACCGTGAGAGTCGGGGGAGAGGCCTAGGCCGTCCTCCTGCCCCGGGCATCCGGCCGGGTGGCAGCGGTCACTGTCTCCTGGGGCTACGGCATTCCGGACTGCCATGGCCCCGGGGCTGGGAAAGGGTTGGCCTCTGAGGAGCGCGTCCGGGCACTGTGGCCTGGTGCCTCCCGAGGGCGCCTAGAGGAGGAGCCGGCAGGTCAGACCTGGGCCCGGCCAGCGCAAGCTCTCTGCCGCCCTCGCCTTCCTGGCGCACGGCCCACTGTGGGCCTGGGGCCCTCTGTGGACTGCGGCCAGACGTTTTTGCCCACCCCGTGGGGTGAGAGGTGCTTTAGGACTCTGCAGCCCCGGAGTCGGCTTCCTCCACCCACACGCTTCCGGCGGCCAGCGCGAGTGATGTTTGCAGCACACGGAGTCCCCCAGGAGTCCTGGGAGTGCTGCCCGGCCCCCAGCCGACTAGGGCAGCCAAAGTAACAGAGGGGCCATGAGCTTCTGGAATGCCCTGCCCATCAGGAGCGGAATGCCCTGCCCATCAGGAGCCTGTCCAGTGCTCTCTGCACCCTGCCGGTGGCCTTTCCCCTGAGGAGGGTGGGGTGGAGGGAGCACAGCTCTGCATTCTTGGGACCTGGGAATTCACCACTGTGGCCCTGCCCCTCCTCCTCACGGAGGCTTTCAGGCCAGTGCTTCCCAGACCGCGGTGCTGGTCTCAGGTCCGTGGTACCTCGTTGAGGACATGGTCCCATGGCGCCTCCCCCTCCCCACTCCCAAGAATCCTCTTTCTCACGGGTGGGAGTGGTCTTGGGCAGCTGGAGTCCCCACAACTTGGCGGGTGTTGGCTCCACGCTGCCCCCCTCCTGACCTGGGGGATGGTCCTCAGCTCCTCCCCAAGGCCTTGCTACTCCCTGACTAGCCCTGGGCCTGCTCCCACCCTGGCTTTGTCCCAGGCCAGTGCCCATGGGCCCCCAGGAGGAATGTCGGGGGGTTGCTTGCTCTTGGCTGCAGTGGGATGCGAGTGTGCTTCCCCAGGAGTGATGCGGCCCCACTACGTCCCACCTCAGGCCCCTGGGCCTGTGGGGCCCCTGGGCTGCGCTGGGGTCAGTGCATCTGGATCCGGCCAAGCGGGTGAAGGCTGAGCCTGGTCAGAGCTGAGCCTCTGCTTTCTACCCTTCCCCGGGGTGGGGGCTGGGTGCCATGTCATGCCAGGCCCAGTGACTCACAGATCAGGGCGGGCAGTTGGGAAATACGGGCAGAGGGTAAGTCGTGGCCCCAGCTGTCTGCCCTCCCAGCAGCCCCTCTCTCCCCAGGAGCAGGTGGCAGAAGCCCCAGCTGTGGGCCAGGCTCCACGGTGGACACTGAGACTCCTCTAGGGTAGAAAGGGGTGCCGAGAGTCTGTGCCGTGGACCCTGGGTCTGGAGCCCTGGGGAGTGTGCGAAGCCCAGGAGTGCTGGCCCCTGACCCTTGCCCCTGCTGCTCCAGGGGAGGCTGGTGCCAACATCATTGAGGTGTCGAAAGAGGCCCGGAAGCGGTTCTTGGGCCCACTGCACCCCTCCTTCAACCTGGTGAAGATCATTCGGGGCTGCCTGCTAAAGACCCTGCCTGCTGACGGCCACGAGCGCGCCAGCGGCCGCCTGGGCATCTCCCTGACCCGCGTCTCCGATGGCGAGAACGTCATTATAACCCACTTCAACTCCAAGGAGGAGCTCATCCAGGTGGGCCCTGGGGGCCACACTGGGGGTTCAGTAGGGACCCCAAGGCCCCTGCTCACTGTCTCCCTCTGTCCCTGCCCCACAGGCCAACGTCTGCAGCACTTTCATCCCTGTGTACTGTGGCCTCATTCCTCCTTCCCTCCAGGGGGTAGTGAGTATCTGCTGGGCACCTTCCCTGGGTGACAAGAGTCGGCTCCTCTGTGGGCTGTGGGACAGGGAGGCGGGGAGGAAGCCATCTGTGCCTCCCCACGCCGGCCCCTCACTCCTGCCTCTGCCCGTTGCCTCACTTCCCCCAGAGTTACTCAAGAGCCAGGCCAGCCCTGCGCAGATGCACCTTTCCTGTGGCTGTTCCCCACCCCCCACTGTCTGGCCATCTGCTCAGTGGCCAGTGCCCAGTGGGTGAAACGCCCAAATGAAATAGCCACGGGGGGGCAGCCCAGCTGTCCCCGTGTGACCCCGTGTCCCTGCCACAGCGCTACGTGGATGGCGGCATCTCAGACAACCTGCCGCTCTACGAGCTCAAGAACACCATCACAGTGTCCCCGTTCTCGGGCGAGAGTGACATCTGCCCACAGGACAGCTCCACCAACATCCACGAGCTGCGCGTCACCAACACCAGCATCCAGTTCAACCTGCGCAACCTCTACCGTCTCTCCAAGGCCCTGTTCCCGCCCGAGCCCCTGGTGAGGCCAGACCTCCCCGCCGGGCACCGGGGGCGCCGGGGACGGCTCCCCGGGGGCCTCTCCCGGCTACGGCCCGCACAGCCTCTCCACTGGGGCAACCCGTCCAGCCTCTGTCCACCCTGGACCTGGTCCTGAATCCAAGTTAGCTTGCAGTGGGGCAGGGTGGGGTGGTGGTTCAGGGACACTGGGGACTCTATCAGGCACGTCTGGCTCCCCTGCCCCAGTTTATGCATCCCTCTGCCTCAGGTGCTTCGAGAGATGTGCAAGCAGGGCTACAGGGATGGCCTGCGCTTCCTGCGGCGGAACGGTGCGTGGGGGCTGCCTGGGCAGCCGGGTGGGCTCTGCGTGGCCGTCCTCTGTGGGCCAGCCGGCCTCAGCCGTGCTGATCGACTATCAGGCCCCCCCGCCCCCCTCCAGGCCTCCTGAACCGGCCCAACCCCTTGCTGGCGCTGCCTCCCGCCCGCCCTCCTGCCCCCGAGGATGAGGACGCACAGGAGGCCGAGGTGGCCACGGAGAGGACCGGAGTGAAGGACCACTTGCAGCCACCTGGGGAGGATCACATCCTCGAGCACCTGCCCTCGAGGCTCAACGAGGGCATGTGGGGTTGGCGGGAGCGGGGGGACCTGGGGGGACGGGGGGCAGAGGGGTCCTGGGCTCCACCTCCCTCCCCTACCGACCTCGCACCAACCTCCCTCCTGCACCCACAGCCCTGCTGGACGCCTGCATGGAACCCACGGACCTGCTGACCACGCTCTCCAACATGCTGCCCGTGCGTCTGGCCACGGCCATGATGGTGCCCTACACTCTGCCGCTGGAGAGCGCCGTGTCTTTTACCGTCCGGTGCGGGGCAGGGGGAAGGGGTGCAGGGACGAACTCTGGATCATCCCCGGGTGGTGGGCACTCGAGGGAAGAAAAAGGCGGCCGGTTTAAGGGGTTGCAGAGATGCCACGTCGGGGTCCCAGAAGCCAGGCACAGACGGAGGTGGGGTGGGGCGGGTGTGAGGTTTGGGCCACAGCCCCTGAGGCCATGCCTTGTGCCCCGCCCCAGCTTGCTGGAGTGGCTGCCCGACGTTCCCGAGGACATCCGCTGGATGAAGGAGCAGACGGGCAGCATCTGTCAGTACCTGGTGATGCGCGCCAAGAGGAAGCTGGGCAGCCACCTGCCCTCCAGGTGAGCTCCTTGCTGTCCTGTCCACCCCGCCTGCAGCTTCAGGGGCCCCCACGAAAGCCCTCCCTCCCTCCCTCGGTCCTTTCCCCGCCCGCAGGCTGTCGGAGCAGGTGGAGCTGCGCCGCACCCGGTCGCTGCCCTCCGTGCCGCTGTCCTGTGCCGTCTACAGCGAGGCGCTGCCCAGCTGGATGCGCAACAGCCTGTCGCTGGGGGACGTGCTGGCGAAGTGGGAGGAGTGCCAGCGGCGGCTGCTGCTGGGCCTCTTCTGCACCGACGTGGCCTTCCCGCAGGACGCCCTGCGCATGCGCACCCCTGCCGGCGCGGCCCTCGTGCCCCCGCAGCACCCGCCCGGCTCGCCCCCTTGCTGAGAGCCGCCCGCTCCGGCCCTCCCCCCCCCCCGCGCCGAGGGCCGGGCCCCCCCCCCCCCCCCCCCCCCGGCTTCCCTGCCCCGTGAGGCGGGGCCCTGGGGCCAGCAGAGAGAGGAGATGGGGGTCCCTCACGCTGCCCGAGGGGGCTTTGCTGTCAACCAACCACTAACTCGCTGCACTGAGGAGGAAGGGGAGTGGAGTAGCCCTCCCCTCGCAGAGGGCCCCCTGTCTGTGCCTTAACCTCCCCTTCCAGGCCCCGCCCTGGGGCTGGGGACTCCTGCACCTGCGGCCCCTGCCCAACACCCACACCCGCGAGTGCAGTATTACTCCTGAGAACTTTGCACCTGTTCCTCCCTCTACATTTTTCTCATTTGGCTGAAGAATGTGTGTGAATTATTTATTTTTGCCAAAGCAGATGTAATAAAGGCCGCCGCTCAGCCTTACCTCCTTCACTCGTTGGTGACGCCTCCCCACCCCCGCCGCCCCCAGCTGACCCCCACAGCATCCAGCCACAGGCCAGTACTTCCTGGGCTCCCACTCTCCTGGAGCCTGGCACTCCGGCCCTGCCAGCCGGGCCTGGGGCTCCCCCCTCAAAGCACTGCGGGCTTCCTAGGCTTCAGCCTGCTCCTCTGGCTGGGACCCTTGGGCACAGCTTTCTAAGGGCCAGTGGAAGTATTGGGGACCAAGATCCTTGCAAGATAAAAACAGAACTGTTCAGTTTCTTACCGAGGCGGTGTCTGCACCTCTGCTCCACGGTGCCCTGGGGGCGTGGCGCTGATTTCCCAAACCGAGCTCTGGGGGCCTGCTCCACTGGGGGTGTTTGGCCCAAGGCTCTGTGGGTGGTGCGGGTCTTGCCCTTGTCACCCATGAGCCTCACTGCGAGGTGCACACACCTCGTTCCCCTGTTCCCCTCCCCCCCCCACTGTGTCCCCAGTCTCCTGCTGGTATACAGGAGGGATCTGGAATGTTGGGCGGGGCGAGGTCTGTGCCAAAGGGGGCTGGATCCTGTTCTGGGGGGGATGAGGTTTCCTGAAGGCCTTCTCTGCCCTGCCTGGGCAGTCTGAGGGGATGTAACCAGCCCTCCTTGGTGATCACAAGGGCCCATGGGGTGACGGGTGCCTGAGCAGAGCTGGGCACTTGGCTGGAGGTCCAGAGCGCTTAGTCCTGCCGGGTTCAGCCGGCACCTGCCCTCCTGCCCTTTCTCCTCGAGGCACGGGGCAGCGGCAGTAGCCCCCAGCCAACAATAACGGTCGGTAGCGCGACTGCAGGACTGGGAGAGCCGGCTCAGCAAGTCCCCGTGCACCTGTGCCAGGGGCCACCCCCACCTTGGTCTCAAGGTCCTGTCCTATAGGTCCAACCTGTTCTAGTTCAGCAGGATCCCAGGCCCCTGAAGAGGCAGAGGCCTCCAGCCCCCCAGCGCTGTCCGGACAGCTCTGCGAGGCCAGCCCCTCCAGGTGGGTGCCAGGCTGGGGCCGGGGAGGAGGACCCCTGGGAAGATGACGGGATTTTTCTCCTCCCCACCTCAGGAAGGTCACACACAGGCCCCACCCAGAACCTTCTGGCAGCCCTCCCCCAACAGGAACCTGAGTCAGGGCTATGCCCCCAAAGGAGTGCTTGGGGCGCCTGCTGAGACGAGGACCTCCCTCTGCTTCCCCCACCCCCAGCCACTCACCCTCACACGCACAGGCATCTATGCCGCTGATTTAAGTACCATTTTCTTGTATAGTACGTGTTTATTGTTTAAAAATGGAAAAAGAAAATTGGAGAAGTATAGAGGAGAAAGGAAAGTCACCCCACTTCTAGAGAAAAGCGTTGAAAATATTTTGGTCTATTTCCTGCCTTTTTCGTGCACACACTTTGGCGCCTTAAATCGGGATCCTGAGGACTGCCCCCCAACTTTGGCCCTGTGCAGGAAGGGTCCCCAGGGTCATCCCCCCACTATGCGCTCGGACTCTGCCAGGACAGACACTCGGGGGTCGGGCCGTATGCAGGGGCGGGGCGGGCTATGAGGCGAGCGCTGGGCCACCGGGGCAATGCCGAGAGGCGGGGACACGGTGGGGACGCGGCGGCGGCTCCGCCAGGGCCGTCGCTGCCGGGGTCCCGGTGCCCGCAGGAGAACAGCCTGGTGAGTAGCAGGTGCGGTGGCAAAGCTCGCAGGTAGCCGCCCGGCCCGTCCCCCTGCCCGCGTTGGCCCCGCACCCCCCGTCACCGCCAGGCGCGCCGATCCCCGCGTGTCGTGGTCAGGGGCTCCGGGGCCCCTTGGGACACGCGCTGCGGGGGCAGAGTGGGCTAGGCCCCAGGGTGCGGGGGCTCAGGCAGCCCTTCCCCCCCGCTCCCCGGCCGGCCACAGCGCAGCTTCCGGCTGGGATGGTCCCCCGGTCCCGTGGAGCCCGCCCGGGGAAGGCGACGGCGTGAGGCGGAGACGTCTCCGCCCCTATGTCCCTTCCTCTCCGCCTTTCTCAGCCCTGCCCTCTTTGGAGGTCGCCTCCCGCATCCCCCAGGAATGGGTGGGGAGAGAGAATCACAGTCCTGGACTGGGGGGCGAGGACCAGAGGGTCCCAGGTGGGGGGCTGTCGCCACGCTGGGGGTTAGCTTTGGGAACTCTGGGGTCCAGGTGTCGTGGGAATGACAGGTGGTCTGATTAGGGGGCAGGGCGCCCCCATGGGGAGGGAGGCCAGTCTGGTGGAGAGCATAGTGCCAGCAGGAGAGCCTGTTAAGCTAGACTCTGAGCTTGTTCCTGACAAGGGCCACAGAAGGCATCGTGGCCCAGGCTGGACCCTGCACCTGCACCCCTTGGGGCATGGTGCCGGTGGGCGGGGCTGCAGGCAGGGAGGGAGGAGCTTCCCCGCCTGCCAGCTGGCTGGAAGCAAGGCCCAGAGGCCCAGACTCAGAGGCTAAGGACTCTATCAGCCAGGATAGGCTGACACTCCCACTGGCCCAGCCCGGCCCGCCCGGTCTCCAGGCCCCGACTCCAGGACCTGTTCAGCTTCTCTGTGGCTGACCATTCTCTCACCCAAGCCCCCACCTCCTCATTTTCCATCACAAGATCTATAGCTGCCCCCCCCCGCCCCCACCCCCGCCCCCCAGCACATCCTCTCGTGCACCGGCTGGCTCCCCGGGTGGCCCTGAGCCTGCAGGCTCCACCCATGCCACCTTGTGCCAGCCCCACCACCTGCAATTGGGCCACACCTCCCCCAGCTGCCCCTCCTCTCTGGGCCTCCACCTTCCCATCCCCACCGCTCCAACTTAGCCCTCAGCCACCTTTGCCCCTCACCCTTCTGCCTACACTTCTCCTCTCCCCTCATTTCTCAGCTCTGCTCAGGCCCTGACTTCTCCTTGGCTTCACAGCGCCCAAGGCTGAGACCCCCGCCATGGCCAGCCCCGGGAAGCCTGGGGCTGGGGAGAACCAGGAGGAGGAGGGGTGGGACAAGGGGCACGCCCCAGGGCCACTGGCAGCGACACTAGAGCAGGCCCAGGAGCTGTTTCTGCTGTGCGACAAGGAGGCCAAGGGCTTCATCACCCGGCACGACCTGCAGGTGAGCCCCCAGCTCCAAGAGGCCTCCCACCCCAGGGCTGACCTTGGCTACTCAGCCTTGCCATCCTTGCCCGGCCAGGGCCTGCAGAGCGACCTGCCTCTCACGCCCGAACAGCTGGAGACTGTGTTTGAAAGTCTGGACCAGGCGCACACTGGCTTCCTCACCGCTCGGGAGTTCTGCCTTGGCCTGGGTGAGCCCGGGCCCTGAGCCCCACCCCCTACCCCGCTGCTCAGACACCCTCCGCTGGCACATATGGGACTCTCTGGGGCCCACAGCCCACATGGGTGGCAGGCCGTGCTTCTCCCTGGCCTCCCTCCGGAGCACAGGCTGGTGTCTGTACACTCAGGCACCACGGGAAGCCCCCCAGATGCTGTGGCATATGTGGAGATGACCTGCTCCCTGACCCAAACCCAGGTGGGACTGGGAGCCAGGCATGCCTCATTTTGGCCCGAGCCCAGCTGTCACCTCCCATTCCCAGGACAAGAATCAGACCAGAATAAGGAAGAAAAACAGGAAACTGGGCTCAGAGAAAGAGCAGGATATGCGGGGGGCGGGGGTGGGCTGGGCTGGGGGTGGTGACCCAAAGCCGGGTGATCTCTCCCTCCCATGCCCGCAGGGAAGTTGGTGGGGGTGGAGCCTGCCCCGGGTGCTCTGCCCTCCCAGGCTCCTCAGGCTCCAGAGGAAACCTTCGAGGCAGGCTGGTCGGATGTGCGAGGCCCCGGGGGCTCCCTGGAGGAGGAGGACGAGGAGAGATTCTGCTCTGCGCTGGAGCAGCTGGGGGTGGCCCGGGTCCTGGGCGAGTGAGTCGGCACTGGCCCGGCTCCCGTCACCCTCACCTGCTCTCTGTCCGCCTGCATGCTGCCTGTCCACGTCGCCTGCATGTCTGTTCCCAGGCAGGGTCCCTAGACCGGGTCTGGGCCGCTCCTTCTCTCCCAGCTGCGACTACTGCGTGCCGGGCCTGACTTCCCACAGAGTTTGCATTTCAGGAGGCAGCAGCCGGGGCTGCGCCCAGCACAGGCACGCCCCTGTGTACACAAGGACACAACCCCACGCACACACTCCTCCTGGCCACACAAGCCCCGCACAGGCACAGACCCCCACAGGGGTGAAAGCACCCAGGAGAGGGATGCCCAGCTTGTGCAAGACTACGGGTGCCTCTGGGGGCTTCTTACCCTGCAGGGTGGGGTGGGGAGTCCCCGCTTCAGCTTCGATCTCTGCCCTCCCACCCCCCACCCCCACGCCCACCTCCACCCCCACCCCCAGGCAGCGGGCAATTCGGACGCTCTGGACCCAGCTGCAGCGTGAGCGACCCGAACTGCTGGGCTCCTTCGAGGACGTTCTGATGCAGGCGTCGGCCTGCCTGGAGGAAGCGGCCCGAGAGCGGGAGGGCCTGGAGCAGGCGCTGCGGCGGTGAGGGCTGGGGGGCTGGGGGCGGCCTGAGGGCCAGGCGGAGGGGCTCTGCGAGGTGGTAGGGGCGGGGCCGAGGGCTGTACCGCTGGCAGGTTCTAAGCAGCTGTCTTACCCCTGGTTTCCCGAAGGCGGGAGAGCGAGCACGAGAGGACGGTGCGATGTCTGTACGAAGATATGGAGCGGCAGCTTGGCGAGCAGCGCCGGCGCCTGCGGAGTCAGGTGGGCCCGCAGCGCCGCCCCGCGCCCAGCCCAACCCCGGACGCGCGGGTCTCCCCGGCCCCGCCTTCTCCGAAGTGGTACCACCCGCGCCCCTGCCGCTCCGCCGCCGCGGGGGCTCAGGTGTCCCCGCGCGTCCTAGGACGTCCCCCGGGAGGAGCGGAGAGGCCGCCTAGAGCTGGAGCTGCAGAGTCGCGAGCAGGAGCTGGAACGCGCGGGACTGCGGCAGCGAGAGGTGAGCGGCTGCCCGGCGGTCCCGGCCGGGAGGCGTGCACAGCGGTCCAGCCCAGGCCTCATCCTCACCGTCCCCCATGCTACTCCCCGGCGTCCTTGAGGCCCTTGGGCCTACGTTCCCAGCCCCGGAATTGTTGGGAGTCAAGGGCAAACGCAGCATCCCGGGGACGTGCGGGGGTTCTCTCCAGCCTCGATCCCCCCACACCCCAGTTGGAACAGCAGCTGCAGGCCCGGACCACCGAGCAGCTGGAGGCGCAGGCGCAGAACGCCCAGCTGTGGCTGGCCAACGAGGCGCTGCGGGCGCAACTGGAAGGGGTGCAAGAGCAGCTCCGCAGACTGGAGAGCGACTTGCTGGGCCATCGGGAGCAAACCCAACGGTGCTGGGGGGCGGGGATGGGGTTGGGCCCTCAGGGGCGGACTCCGAGAAGGGTCGCGAGAAGGGTCGCGTTTGGAGCCCAGGGCTTCCATCCCACCCCGTCCCAACCCCGCCTCCAGGGTCTCCGTGGGGCAGGGTCCTCCAGGGGGTCGTGGGGCACCCCGAGGAGCCTCCTTGCATCCAAATTACCACCTCCGTCCTGCAGAGACGTGGTCGCGGTCTCGAGGAACATGCAGAAAGAGAAGCTCAGCCTCCTGCGGCAACTGGAACTGCTCAGGTGCGTCAGGAAGGGGTCAGCCCAGCTCCTAGCTCCCAAACAGTCCCTCTCACTGCCCCATCCCACTGCGAGGAAGTCCTTCCTTGTGTCTGCCCTCCATCCATCATGCTGCAGCTCCAGGCAGACACCTCTCTTCTGGTTTGAGGGAGCGCCAGAGCCCGTGCCTGCATTCCCCACCTAGGAATGCTGCCTCTTCAGATCTCTCAGAACCCCTGGACTCCTATTCCCCAGGGAGCTGAACACGAGGCTACGAGACGAGAGGGACGTCTGTGAGGCCGAGCGGCTGGTCAGTGGCCGCAGGAAGGCTCTGACCACGGCCCCCCTGCTGGGGCCCCCCTGCTGCTGTTCCTGCTGTTGTAGTAGCTGGGCTCGCCCCCCCAGACGCGGCTCTGGCCACCTTCCCAGTGCCCGCTGACCAGCCCGAGTGACTCACTGGGTGTTACTTGGTTACTCGGAGAAGCTGCCCCTTGAAGGTGACTCCTCGTGGCTGGGGGCTGCCCATCCTGGCTGTGGGTTCTACCCAGTAGGCTGCCTGGCCTGCCTGACTTGCTGACGTGAAGGAACTAATCCTGGGTGGTCAGGGTCTCACCGTGCCTCCCTGCCGATCCTCACCCTACCCCCATCCCATCAAAACCAGCAGAAAACTCCCTCTTCCAAATAAAGTCCACTGACTTCGACCTCCTCGGCCTCCTGTGTGTGTGTGGGAGCCACAACATTTGAGAGGTACACGCATGAGATTTCCATCGTCCACGCGTGTCCCTGGTCATGTCCCCAAGCCCTCACTGTCCGTCAAAGCTGTAGGAACCAAGGGACTGAGACCACTGACTCCCAGGAAGCAGCAGGCGGGGTTCCCTGCCCACCCCCAGCCTCAGTCAGCCACCCCCTCCCCATGCCAGTCCTCACACAGTCCTGGGTGGGCTAGCTCAGCCCACTGGAGTCCTGAGTGGAGGCGCCGGTGGTAGGCCTGAGCTGTCCCCCTGCCCCTCCGCCCTGCCAGCGCGAGCCTCGGGCAGGGAGCTGGGGATGAGTGCTGCCACCGTCCACGCAGAGCCGCTCCCAGCGACTGTGCCGTCTCAGGGCCCACCTGGGACTCCCCTTCCCTTTCTACTCCCGCTCTCAGCTCCCCAGCGCAGCGGGTGGGCAGCCTCTGCCCTCTCTCCTTCACCTCCCTCCACCACTCCCAGGCGATGCCCTCCAAACTGGACTCTCACACTGACCCCAGGCCTCCCCTCCAGGCCGTCCTCCCAACGGCGCCCAGAGAGGCTCCTGTCTGCATCTGACCGCACCTCCAGAGACTCCCCCCAGGCCCGCATCTGTTCCGTCGACTCCTGCAGCCTCCCGCCCCTCCCCCAGCGCAGCTCCTCCCGAGGGCATGGGCCAGCGGGGCTGTGGGCGCCCCCGGGCCGCAGCCCGCCCGGCCCCCGCCGCCTCGGGCGGAGCCCCGGGGCCCGCCCCGGTTGGTGTTCCGCCCGCTCGCGCCGAGCGCTGTTCGGACCTGCCCGGCGTCGCGGCCGTGGGCGGGGCCTCCGGGCCCGGGGCGGGGACCTGAGCGGTCCGGCGCGTCGCGCTCGCAAGCCCCCGGTCGGCCGCACATTCTCCGCGCTCCGAACCGCCGCCGCCTGCGCCGCCACCGCCGCCGCCGGCCCGACTCGGACGCGTGGCCGGTGAGTGCACCGCCCGGCCCGGCCGGCCGGGAGAAGCCGCGCGCTTGGCGGCCGTGCAGGCCGCTTCCGGAGGGAGACGGGCGCCTGGAGGCCGGGCGGAAAGAGGGTCCGCCGGGCGGCGAGGGCGAGGCGCCTCCCGGGTCTCCGGACGGGCCTGGCGGCCCCTTCCGGCCAGGGGCTCCTCCCGAGCACCCCGCTCACTGTGCGCAGACACCGGTGCCCTCCCCTCCGCCCGGTGCGAGTGGGCGGGCCGTTCGCCTCGCCCCGGCGTGGGGGAGGCGGCGGCGGTGACTTCATCGCGAATTCCTCACCCGGCCTGGCTGGAGCCGAGTCGGGGTCCCCCACCTTGCGGGGCGGGGCGCCGAAGGGCTGGTTGGGCCGCGGGGGACGTGGGTGGGGCGGCTCTGTCCCGGGCCGCGGGAGCTATTTCTGGCCGGCCCTTTCCCTTGGGGATCATCTCCGCCAGGCACTCCCGGAAAGAGGGGCCCCTCCTCAGCCGGTCGCCCGCGGGCGGGCCGTGGGGGCCGGATCTGTGTCTGGAAGCAGCCTCCCCGGGACCCCAGGGCAGGCGCAGGTCTGCGGCACGTGGGGCTTCCACACCCCGGCTGTGCTAGTGCTCTGTGCCTTTTTCTTTCCAGGCTGCAGCTACTGCTGCTTGGTGGGGCAAGGGGCAGTGACAGGTCTGGTGCCAAGGCTCAGAGTGGGCGCCTGGAGAAGGCGTGCGGTCCCTCCCTGGATCGGACTGTCCAGAAATGTCCTCTGCCCTGCCCCGCCCTGGCCCAGACCAAAATACCGGGCCTGGCCGCTCCCCTCTCAGCCACGGGCAGGGGGTGGACGCTGCCTGCTCTGGAAGGCCAGCTCGGGTCCAGTGCCTGGGTCGGCCAGAAAGAGGGGTGGCGGTATCCTGACCATCCAGGTTGAGCCAGACCTGTGACCTGTCCCTGCCCTTCTAGCGGAGGCTCCTCGGGCGGGAACTTCCGTCCGCCTGCCTTACAGACGAGAGAGACATCCCCACCAGCCAGGTGAGTGCTGGGCGGGGTGGATATAAATTTGGCTGTGGGCGGGGCGGCGCTGCGTCTGTCTGGAAACATGGCCCCGGGCGCTCAGCTGCCATCTGTGTCCCACAGCCACTCCCCGCCCAGTGCGGACACCCCAGAACAGAGTGGGTGGGGTGGCCCTGGGGTGCCTCTGGGGAGGAGCACAGCCGGTAGCTCCACTTCTCCCTGGGGTCGGTGTGGCTGTCCCCATTCCAGCAATGAGGACTGGCACAGGAAGAACCCCCCAGGTCTGGGCGGGTGTGTGTCTGCCAGCTCCACTTGCCCCCGCTGGGAAGAAGGCAGGCCTGTCCTTTCACAGAGCCCTGAAGGGCTTTCCTAAGGCTGTGGGACTAGGCTAGCGAGGGGCAGGTCGGTCTGTCTTGGAGCGGCCTCCTCCCCCCAGCAGCTGGTGGGTTCCTGCCAACCTGTGGCGTGGGGCCCGGGGAATGCTTGGGACGGGGTGGGGAGCCTGCATGAGCTCACCCCGAGGTGCCTGCTGGGGCTTCCTACCCTGGCTGCCAGAGGGGTGAGTCAGCCCGTGATGGTTGGGGGTCCTCCAGGCCCCCTCTCACCATGCCCGGGGCTCTGGTCAGGGAAGCCTGGCCCCCCGGCCTTCAGCTAGGCTGTGGGCACCCCATCTGCCCTCGCTGCAGTGGGGGTGGAGGCTCCTGAGCGGCCTTCGCAGGAAGCATCCTGGTTGCCATGGACCTTCTCCCAGAGCCTTCACCCTGGCAGGCAGTTGGCTTAGCCCCAACCTGGGGCTGGTCTGGACATCTGTGTCCCCTCCTTCTGTCCCCACTGGTGTCTGGCCATCCTCCCAGTCAGGCCCTCCCCCGCCTCCCTGCCGCAGGATGGGCGAGTTCGGCGAGAAGACGACGACATGTGGCACCGTCTGCCTCAAGTACTTGCTCTTCACCTTCAACTGCTGCTTCTGGGTGAGGCACCCCCTTCCCCAGCCTTGAAAGGAGCCTGGCCTGGGGCTCAGACCTGGGGCCAGGTGTGGTGACCGGTGTGCACTGCCCACAGCTGGCTGGTCTGGCCGTCATGGCCGTGGGCATCTGGACACTGGCCCTCAAGAGCGACTACATCAGCCTGCTGGCCTCGGGTACCTACCTGGCCACAGCCTACATCCTGGTGGTGGCGGGCGCTGTCGTCATGGTGACCGGGGTTCTGGGCTGCTGCGCCACCTTCAAGGAGCGGAGGGACCTGCTGCGTCTGGTCAGCAGGGTGTGGCTGTCACTGGGGGTGGGGGTGGGGCTGCGGGTACCTGCCAGGGCTCCCTGCCAGGCTGCCGGGGGCTGGCTCTGGGTCCTTGAGGGAGTTAGAAGGGACTGACGGGGATCGAGTGTGACACCGCAGGATGGACTCTGCTGTGCTCACCTGGGGGGGCGTCCCTTCCCACCTGCCCAGTCCTGTGAGTGCCCACATCCCAGCTGGGCCTACAGAGGGAAGACACCTGGGAGTGAGCATTGGGGGTCCTGGCGGCCCCCCAGCGCTCGCCTGCTGCCTGGAGCCCTCACCGTGTGGCTGCTTGGGAGCTGAGGGCAGTGGCTGTGCTCTGTTGTGCCTGGGCCCGGGGAGCCCTCACGGACTGGGGGTGTCCGTGACCCGCCCTGTCTCACGGAGCCCCTGCACCGCCCCCCAGTACTTCACCCTGCTCCTCGTTATCTTCCTGCTGGAGATCATCGCGGGAGCCCTGGCCTACGTCTACTACCAGCAGGTGAGGGGCACAGACAGGCCGTGGTCGACGTGGACGGGCACGGGCACACACGGGGACACGCACGTGCGAGATGGATGCGCACACGCAGGCGACGTGTACATAAACACCGGGACACACACATACACAGGCAGGGCACGCACATGCACACAGGACCGCACGGGCTCCAGCGCTGAGCATCGTGGCATCAGGCCCAGGAGGTGGAGACTGGGTCCCAGGGGGAGGGTGGATCACGGGGATGGACAGCCTGCCTGCAGCACCCAAGTTGCCTGCTTGGGGGCCCTGGCGGGGGAGGCAGGTGTCCGCAGGATCTGGAGCGCCCTCCCTGCCCGCGGCCCTCCCCGTGGCCATCTGAGCCATGCGTCTGACCCCAGCCCTGACCCTGCGCCTCTCTCCCACCTGTGCCCATTGCCATTCTGCCCCACCTTGGAGAGTCTTAGATTTTGTGGCTGAAGTTGTCACCCCCTCACCCCAGCTGAACGCAGAGCTCAAGGAGAACCTGAAGGACACCATGACCAAGCGGTACCATCAGCTGGGCCACGAGGGTGTGACCAGCGCTGTGGACAAGCTGCAGCAGGAGGTGGGTGGGTGGCGCAGGGAGGCACCTCCGCAGACTCGTGCGGGAGCCCCAGCCGCAGGGGTGGGCGGTCAGGGCTCAGCCTGGGCCGTGTCCTCGCTGCAGTTCCACTGCTGTGGCAGCAACAACTCGCAGGACTGGCGGGACAGCGAGTGGATCCGCTCGGGCGAGGCAGGCGGCCGCGTGGTCCCTGACAGCTGCTGCAAGACCGTGGTGGCCGGCTGCGGGCAGCGCGACCACGCCTCCAACATCTACAAGGTGGAGGTAGGCCGGCTGGGGCTTGCTGAGCCGCCCAGGGCCCTGAGGGCAGTGGCTCTGCTCTGTCGTGCCTGGGCCCGGGGAGTCCCGGGATGCTGGGGGCTGGTGTGGCCCGACACCCGAGGGGGCCCGACGACTTGCTGCCTTCAGCGCGCACCCCTGGCCCGCTCCTGCAGGGCGGCTGCATCACTAAGCTGGAGACGTTCATCCAGGAGCACCTGAGGATCATCGGGGCCGTGGGCCTCGGCATCGCCTGCGTGCAGGTGCGGGCACGGCAGGGCGGGCCGGCGGGTGCTGGGACGCGAGGTGCTGACGGCCACGTCCGCTCATGCTGGCCCCATGCTCAGGTGTTTGGCATGATCTTCACGTGCTGCCTGTACAAGAGCCTGAAGCTGGAGCACTACTGATCCTGCCCGCGGGCCGGCCCTCCATGTGCACTGCAGCTTCTTGCCACGCGTTGACTACTGACGGCCAGGGAGCTGCGGTCCAGCACGGGGCCCCACCCTTTGCGTGCCAGGGTCTCCCCCTGGTGTTCTCATGCCTGGGCCCCCCCTGCCCCCCGCACTGTGCCATCACCGTGACCTCTGGGGAGCCCCAAACCCCGGAGGCAGCTTCAAGTGCCTTTAGCTGCACACCAAAGTCCCAAGGCCTGGGGTCGGCCCCACCTGTCTGCCTGTCTGCTGGGCTGGGTGGGTGGGTGGGGGCCGGGGTTGTGGCCTCGGGTTGCTCCCTGAGGCCTGGGTTCAGTCAGAGGGGCCGAGTTGGGCAGCAATGGGCTGGCCCAGCGGGGAGCCGGTCGGCAGCAGGTGAGGAGCCCCGTGTGCCTGCCCTCAGGCCCCTCAGGTACTGGGGGCTTCTCCTTAAGCAAGCCACCTCCAGCCCCTGGAGAAAACCAAGCAAGAGTTCTCCCAGGGCCAAGCCTCTGCCGCTCCCCCCGCTGTGTTCCCGCTGCTCTCACCACCGTCTAGAGGCCTTGCATCACTAGTTCACTGCTGTCACCTCTTCCCTGGAGGCAGGCGTCCTGCAGGTTTTATTCACTGCCGCCTGACGATGCCTAGGACTGCTCTTGCTGTGTGGTAGGTGCTCAATAAACGTCTGTGGAGCGGATGGCTGAACTTTCTATGTTGGTGACACAGACAGTTCTGGTCCCCAGGGCCATCACGTCCAGCAGAGTGGACAGATCCCCCCACCCAGGGCCACAACAGAGGAGGACAGGGGGCCAGCTGTGGGCCAAGGGGACTCGAGGGAGAGGTGGCTGGGGACAGGCTTTGATGCAGCACCTCAGCCGCTCTCTGATGCAAAGCTGGTGGTGTGGCCAGAGCCCCAGAGGAAGTGGGGCTAGACCTCGGGGAGTAGCCGGGACTGCTTGTGGTTTCCAGGGGCCTTTCTGGCCACGGCGCAGGAATCAGGAACGGGAGAAGGTGCTGGGGCTGGTGTCTCAGGAGCGAGTCCGGGGCGTGTCTGGAAGGATGTGTGCTGGCAGTGGGAGCTGGGGCTGGAAGGGGTGCTGGGCCTGGAGGGGCAGCCAGGGCGTGGCCATCGTGCCCTGTCGCCCAGGGGCCGCCCAGCTCCTCACACCGCTGCACGGACCCCATCTCCCTCCCGTGGTCCCCTCACGTACGTTCAGGGGACCCCACTTAAGGCGTCCAGGCAGCTGGGCCAGCCCCGGGGAAGGGTGCCTCCCTCGCTAACTGCACGGCCCTGCCCTCTGCCTGCTGCAGGGCACCAGGGCCTGCCTGACCCCCACCAAGGTGGCAGCTTCCCGTTCTGAGCCTCAGCCTGAGCCACAACAGGACAGAGGCCTCCGAGAGGCAGCTCTCCGGCTGGTTCACAGGATGGCATGTCAGTGCCTGGGGCACCGAGAACCCATCCAGCCCAGACAGCCGGCAGGGCTCCTCCCACCCACTGTGGGGATCTCAGAGTTGTCTGTGGAGGGGAGCGGGCTGCTGGCCTTGTGTGCAGCCTGGAAGCTGCTGGCAGCAGTACTGTCAAGACGGGCATCTTTTACCACAGCGGGCACTCTACTCAGGGCTCAGAAAACCTCGAGGTTCTTTAGACACCGGGGAGGAAGAGGTAAAGGGCGTCTGTCCTGAGCCTAAAGGGCGCCCGGAACACCGCTGTGGGGATACCAGCGCCCCCGTGCCCCCAACCCAAGCACTCCCGACATCTGTGCCTTGTGTGGAGCCGAGTGCAAGCCCTGGAGGAAAGCAGCCCCAGGCTGAGCGCTTCCCTGGGGATGGCCCTCCCTCCTCCCAGGCCGTGAGGGCCGCACCCACCCCCAAGCGGCCTCATGCTCGAGGCAGGACACAGGAGCGAGCGGGCAGCGGGGAGCCTCACGGAGCCAGGCCAACTGTCAGGACCTCCTTGTGGTCCTCAAAAACATTTACTGGACGGTTCTTTCCAGAGAGGGAGACCCATGCAGACAGGGCCACGGGTGCGCGGGCCTTGCTTCCAGCTCCCCACACCTCCAGGGAACGCGCCGCGGGCGAGACGCGGCCTGCCGGGCAGGGGTCACTTCTCCAGGGGTGCGTAGTTGAGCAGCTTCTCGATCAGGTCCACGTGGGCCAGCAGCATGCGGCGGCAGCAGTAGCGCTTCAGGCCCAGCGCATCCAGAGCATCCCTGAGGGCGAGGAGAAAGCTGGCTGCAGCCCGTTTGTCCTGGCAGATGGAGGACCTTGCCCCGGCTGGAGCAAGCCCTGCTCAGCTGCCACGGGCTCTGCTCCCCATGTCAGGGAGGGAAACACCTCTCTCATTTCCCAGAGACGCCGCCCGTCACCCTCAAGGCCTCTGGTGTGCAGACAATGCGGTGGCTTGGGAAAGGGGAGGCCAGGTCGGGTGGCCCCTGCTTGGGGCATCCTGGGGAGGGATCCCGTGCAGGCTGCCAGCATTCACTTGCACTCTGGTCATTTCAGCAGCCTCCTTGGAACTTGGCGCAAATATTAAGGCCATCTATCGCTTCCCCGTTCATCCGACACACTTGCACTAAGAGCCTACGCCTCCCTGGCACATCCCGGGACCCAGAGGTTCAAATGTGATGAGGATGGGGCTGTCCACACAGGGGCCCAAGGTCAGACTCTAGTCCAGGGTAAAGACCCCGACAGGCACGGTGGAAACTGCAGTGCTGAGGGTTAGTAAGCACAGAAGAGGGACCCCCACAATAGCCTAATGATGAGGCCTGTGTGGCCAGGGAGCTTGTCCTATGTCCTAAAAAAGCCAGTGAGTCTGCAGTACACGGGGGTGGGCCTAACAGCGGGGAGACGTTAGGGAGCAGGTGGACAGAGGCGGCTGAGGGCTTATTTGCCGTGGAGGTGGCGAGACTCGCCAGGATACCTAGGAGTCCCCAGACGGCAGCAGCTTGACGCCCGACTCCCTCCCCTCCCCAAACTAAGAGGTCGGGGGTGGGGGCGCTTTCCTGAGAGCGGGTCCGGAGAACAGGGATGGAAAAGACTCCGAGACTGAAAGCTCCCCCGCCCAGGGTCACCTGGAATCTGATGTGAGTAGCCCCCGCCCTGCAGACTGGGACCTCCCGACACCGGCCCGACACACCGACCCCGCGGGCCGGCCCCGGCCCCCCAGGCCCCTCAGGCCGGGACCCACCCCCCATGCCCCGCAGGCTGGCGGCCCGGGGAGCGCTTCCCGACCACGCTGGAGGCCCTCCCAGGCCGGCCCGGCGCCTCACCCCTCGGTGTACTCGGCCTGCAGCAGCCCCAGGTAGGCCTCCCACTTGTTACCGACGATCTTGCCGCACGTGAAGCAGCGCACAGGGATGATCATGGCGGCACCGGAGCAGCCAGCTGCCAAACTCCTTGATCCTGCGGCGCTTCCGCCCTCGGCTCCGGCCCCGCCCTGGGCGCGCCCATGGCGCGGGGGGTGCCCGGCCGTCCGCCCGCCCTGGTGCAGTTGCCGTCCGCTTCCCTCCGCGACGAGTTTCCGAGGCCCGTGCGGCCGCGGCAGGAGCAGGCGGCGCCCCCCGCCTGCCACTTTGGTACATCCCGGCCTACGGCGTCCGGGCGGGGCCGTAAGGGCCCGGCGGCGGCGTTCGCGTTTCTCGTGTCCGCATGACTGACAGCTGCGCGACGAGCTGACTGCCCGCAGGTATAGCGCCCCCGGCGGGGATGCAGTCCGGGTCCCGCGGCCCGCGCGCCCGAGCCGGGCCCAGGCCCAAGCCGAGCCGGCGCGAATTTCAGGCCCCGAGCGCAGAGCACGAGCCGAGTCTCAGCAACAAGTTGCGGGCCGGGCCGGGGCGCGGCGACCCCGCTGCGGGCGAGGAGAGCGGCTGACCGGCGGCCAGTGGGGACCAGGAAGGGGGGAGGGTCTCTCCATCTGGAGCCGCTGCCCGTGGACACCCGGGGGTCTTTGCGCTGAGTTTGGAGGACCCTCGGAGTCGCCGCCCAGCCCGATCGCCCGCACAGTAACGGTCCCGGCCCGGTAGTTGCCCGTATCCCTGACGGCGGGAGGGCGCGGTGCGAGTGACCCGGCGGGTGGCGGGCTCAGCCGGCCGCTCCAACCCCCAGCGCCGCTTCGGTCCGCTTCGCCCCTGTCCCTCCTGCCTTCTTCCCGGGGGAGGGGCTGCGAGGGGGTGCGGGATGGGGCTGGCTGCACCCGTCCCAGGCCAGGCTCTGATGAGTCGGGCGCCTGCGATCTGGGAGCGTCGGATCTCTGAGGACCGGAGGGTGGTCAGGGGGTCGTCGTGGAAGTGGTGTCCTTTGAGCTGAGCCTTGACAAGGGATCCCGAGTGTGTGTGAGGGAGCAGGACAGATACCGGCAAAGGGGACCCATGGGCTGAGGCCTGGAGGCTGTACCTGTGGGACAGAGTAGGTGTCGGAGCTGGAGGTGATGGAGCAGGGGCCATGAAGGATTTAAAGGGAGGGGAGGCTGTGTCTCTGGAGATGGCCTGGGGTGAGCCCCCTGATCCTGTGGCTGTGTGCCATGAGAAGCAGGGAAGTCTCCCTGGAGGAGGTGAGCTTTGGGCTGAGGAAGGTGGATGTGTCTCACAGTGACCCCTGTAACTTAGGCACCTATGCAGAGTCTGGGCACATTTGCTGGTCTGGGGCATCTGGATTTCTGGTTGGGGTGGGTGGGGCCTGACAGTCCTCTCAGGGTGGGTGACGGAGTCGGGATTTAGTTGAGGGGCAGGGAGATGGGGGTCCCCAGTGTCCTGAAGAGGTTGATCAGAGCTTCTGCCCGCCTGAAGTCTGGGCCCTGAGAGCCTCCCCAGTGACGTTTGCCATCCCCCACCCTGCCACGTGCGGAGCCACGAGCAGAGGCCACCTCCCTGCCCAATGCCCCCCCTTCCCAGGCTGACAGGACACATCCTGTCCCCGGCGGGGGCAGGGGCCTTGAGTCACAGTGGCCTGGGGTTGGAGCTGGGCTCAGCTGTAGAGGCTGCCGCACCTGTGGAGGTGAGGGAAACAGGGGAGGGATCTGGGATGCCATCTGGGTAGCTCTTCGGGAACGGGAGCGGGTGTGGGCAGAAGGCTTCCTGGAGGAGGGGCCCATGGTCTGCCTCATCCTGCTCTGGCCCCAGAAGTTGTTTACTCCCAGAGACTGAGGGGCCCGAGAGCCAAGTTGACATTCCTGGAATTCTGAGAGCTGTGTGTAGATTGGGGGAGTCTCCTCCCTCCAGCTCCCTGATTTCCCAGGAGAGGCTGTGGGGAGCAGTGTGGCTGCCTGTGTGCAGGTGCCCTACACACATGTGCACAGAGGCCCCTTGGGGCACTTGACCCTCCGTCTCCACTCTGCCCTGGCTCAGGCCTGGTCAGGCTAGACCTGAGGACCCAGGGGAGCCTCAGAGGTCAGCCCTGCCCCCTGCTCAGCTGGCCCCCTCGTGTGTGTGTTGGGGGGGCAGGCTGGGGCGTGGGCCTGGCTCTCCTCAGGGTGGGCAGGGGCAGGAGGGTGCCCCGGGAGCCCAACACACAGGGTCAGGGGGAGCGGGGCCAGGCCTGCCTGCAGGGGCAGTGGGGTGTGAGCACAGATGTGACCCAGACCTTTGGGAAGGGCCGGAGGTGGGGCAGGGAGAGTGAGGCGCTGGTTTTCCGAGAATGGGGTGTCCTGCCCCCAGGGGCGGGGGCACAGGGAGGGAGGGCTGTGCTCACATGTGGTTTGGAACCCAAGAGCCCTGTTTCCTGCTAGAGGAGGGTCACTTCAGGGCAGGCAGGGGACAAGGGGAAATCAGCGATTGAAGTTTTAGCTGCAGACAGCCTCTGGCCCTGAGTGTTGTCCTGGAAACAGGCTGGGAGTCAGCTGACCCTGGCCCCTGGTCCTGGATCACAGCCTCCGCTTCCCCATCTGTGAAGCGTGGGTGGAGCCAGACGCTGCCCAGCTGGAGGGTCCCCATACTGGCTGTGTGGGCCTGGGGGTCCCAGGCTCAGCCCGGAGCCCCGGCTGCCTTGGGTAGACTCGTGCTCACGCGGTGGGGTGAGCGGGGTGCTCGGACGCTTCCCCAGGGTCCGACGAGGTCGCCCGCCTGCAGCATCTACGGTAACCCTCTGGGCCCCAGCCCCCGGGGTGGTATTCGAGAGTGGTGGTATTTGCAGGCATGCTTGAGGCTGAGCTGGCCCAGCCTAATGACCCTGTGGACAGGCCGGGCCCATGGCCTTTGGGAACGTGGTCATGTGATTTTCTGCCAGCCTGGCCCCACATGGGGCTCCCCGAGGGCACCGCTCAGGAGGGGGCGGGTGGGGTGTCAGTGCTGAGGTGGGGCACGTACACTGTGGGCACCGGAGAAGGGTGCTCCCGGGGCCTGGGGGCGGTGGGAGCAGCAGACTGGCAGGGGACGGCCCTGAGCTTGGGGTTGGCCTCGGTGGGCCCAGGGAAAGCCTGGGGCCCCTCCGCGGCCTCTTCCTCGGGGACCCCTCCCCTGGAGGGTGTGTCTCCCAGCCCCAGGGGCTGCAGCTTGGGTGGGGGGAGGCGGGAGGGGGTGCGGGCCTGGGTGGGCTCTGGGGCCTGCGGGGGTCGGAGTGGCAGCAGGAAGGCCAACACCGCGCGGCTTGTGCTGCCCGCTGGGGTGTGTGCTCCGGGCCGGGCCCTGCTGCCGTCCACCCCCGGCCTCCAAGGCCTCCGGGGCAAGCTCTGTTTTGGCGTTCGGGGAGGTCCTTCTCTGAGTTAGACCCTGGTCTGGCCAGGTAGGCACCACGACCTCTGTGTGGCTCGCGCTCCCCCAGATCCCTGCCTGTCCCCGCCCTGGGGCCCCGGGGAATTCAGAAGGCCCAGCCTAGGGCTGGACGGCTGCGGGAGTGTCTGTCACGGGCTTCTCATTCAGCCCGCATCCTGACTGCCGGCTGCACGTGCCATTCCGGGGGACACAGGCATGTCTGAACCTGTGCTCTAAGGAAGCCCAGAGCAGGGTGTGGGGCAAGGAGGCTTCCTGGAGGAGAAGGCTGGGCCTGGGTGAGGGACAGGGCCAGCCCGGTGCTGTCGGGCCCTGCACCCATACCCTGACCACAGGCTTGTGGCTGGGCTGCCCAGGATGGGGCTGGGGGCCCCGGACTCATGGAGGGGCATTGTGGGGGCCAGGAGGCAGGGAGGTTATTCATGGAGGGTCCAGGGGTGCCTCTGGGGTGGGGGCCAGGAGGGGTGCTGGTGGAGCTGCCCAGTAGGGCCTGACGCCCGGGTCTGGGGGTGCAGGGTGTGCAGACGCAGCCTTAGGCCTGGAGGGGTGGTGGCCTGCGATGCGTGGTCTTTTGCTTCTGCGGTGTGGCTATGGGCTTTGGGCCCCTCAGCTCCTGGGCAGGGGGTTCATCAAAGAACACGGGAGGGGCGCGTCCCTCCCACTCATTGCCCTCAATGTATCACTGGGCCTGAAACCCCTCCACGGACGTGTCTTCCCCGGGCACAGCGGTTGCTGGGGGGGTGGTCCCGGGCCCTGGGCCCACGTGCCTCCTCGCCCCACCGTGGTGGGTGCTGTTCGTCCCCCTAAATGAAGGGACAGGTCTCACGTTGCCGGGGCCTCCATCCGCTCAGTGGCTTCATGTCTGCCCCAGGTGTGGGTTTGAGTGGACCGGCTGGCAGTGGGCTGCCCACGAGGGCATGGCTGTGACGGGGTGGGCATGTGCCAGTGTGGCTGTCCCCTCCTGCCCCTGGGCCGCTGGAAAGACATCTGCTCCACCCTCAGGCTTCAAGGAGCCTCTGGTCTGAGGGGTGAGGTGTGATGGGCTGGGCGTGTGAGCTTGCTCCCCCCCCCACCCCCCGCCGCAATCCCTGGCTGGTAGGGGAGGACAGAATCCCCCTTTGAGCGCCAACGGCAGATTCACAGCCCCGTGTGAGTCATCGCCTGTTGGCTCCCTGGGGAGAGCGTAAGGCTGGTGGCTCATGGCATCTGTCTGCTGGGAACCCAGGAGGGCGTGGGGTGCAGGGCACCTCAGAATGAGTGGACAATGCCGGCGGGTCTCAGGGCTCCAGGACCGCTGGGGGCTGGACGGCCCTCAGTCCGTGTGTGTGTCCCTGACTCTGAACATGTGTCTTCTCTGTGTGCATGTCCGCATGTGGGTACTCCTGTGTCTGCCAGGGCATCTCAGAGGACTGAGTGACCGGAGGGTGGGGTGCAGCCCCCTGGTCTGGGCCACTGGTTGGTGCTCTGGCCCCCCGAGTCTGAGTGCACCGCCACCCAGCCCCCAGCTGCCCCTGCAGGGACCCGGTCCTGAGTGGAGAGCCCCTCAGAGGCTGGGAGTGAGGTGCAGCACGGCCTCCATTCTGCCTGTCTTCCTTCCACAGAGCTCCGGCTTTGGCCTTGCTGACTGCTCACCTGCCGCCTGGCCAGCCTTCAGGGGCGTCGGGCACCACCTACCTTCTTCCCTGCCACAAGCCCAGGTACGTCGCGGCCCGTGGGGCAGCGGGGGCAGCGCTGGGTGGCCTCCTGGTCTCCCCCACGCCTGGCCCAAGGGCCTTGCTGGCTGGATACTCTCCTGGTCCCGGGACAGACCGAGGCTGAGCCAGCCAGCTGTCACCCTCTCAGCATGTCTCACCGGGGTCCCCTTGCTGGAGGAACGGCTGGACTTTGAGGACAGGGTCCCTGGGGGCTGGGAAGCACCCCACTGGTGGCCTTGATGTGCTCACGTCCTCATTGCCATTGTCCCTGGCATCCTTGGTGGTTTTCTGGTTTAATCTCAGCTCAGACTCACAGGCTCACCTGGGGTGATGGGTGCAGGTTTTAGAAACAGGAGAGGGCTTGGCAGGAGTTCTGGGGGCGTTGGCATGGTGTTGGCTGAGTGAGGCTGGGGAGAGGGCAGCCTGGGTGCTGGGCCCCATCGTGGGAACCCAGGCCACCCTTCCACCCCCGCCCTGAGCTGCAGTGTGATGAAGCGGAGGACGGGCAACGGGGGGAGGACCCCACCCTTGTCCTCAGAGGCCCTGCCCTGTGACCAGGCTGGGGAGACAGACATGTCCTTCAGCCCTCGTCAGCTCTCCTGTGTCCAGTGTGCATAGTGAGCGCAGGCCCTCTCGTGCGTTGCGACTCTCGGGGCCCTGAGTGTCCATCCCTGGCTTGGGTGTGTGGGGCTGGCTGAGCTGGGCCAAGGGAAAGATAGCAAGATGCTGCTGGAGTTCCCCAGGATCTCCAGGGGTCACCGGCTGCCACTTGCTCTCTGGGCAGAGCTGCGGCCAGTGGTCTCTACAGGGCCCAGATGGGGGCCCTGCAAGGCTCACTTCTCCACTGGGCCCCTGGTGCGTGGTCACTGTTGTATCCCTTTCCAGGGGTCCAGACACGCCAAAGAATCCTTGGCGGAGAACAGGGTGGAGGGACTGTGGGAAGCCCCAGGCTGACTGGCACGTGGGCAGGGCAGGGATGCTGGGGCTCTCCTGTCCCCACTCCCTACCAGGGCCAGCTGGGCTCAGGGAGGATCTTGCAAGGACACTGCCCTGGGGCTTGAGCTGCAGTTCTCCTCAGAGCCCGCCAGGGCAGCGCAGGGCTGGTGCAGTGGTCCTCAGGGCCCCGCAGGGCTGCCAGACCTCACTGGGCCCCCAGCCCAGCAGACGTCCCCCAGACATGCTACCTCGGGCACCTCTCACTCTCTCAGTCTGTCACTTTGTCACTGACGGGCCTCCCCCCACCCCCACCTTCCTCCTCCTTCTTATTCCCTGACTTCTTTTCCTCTCTTCTCCCATCTGAGTTCTGCTGACCTTGGGCGAGTCCTTCCCTCTTTGGACTTTAGTTTTTGGGACCATCCGATGGTGTGGACGCCACCAGTGGGCGGCCTCAGTGACTGGGAAGACCCAGTCCAGGGTGCGGGCTGCATCCAGGCCTGTGGCCACTCTCCCCCAAGCCTGGCTCCCCTGCTGAGCTGAGAGGCCCAGGGCAGATGGGGAGGAGGCATCTGGGCCCCATGCTGAGGTCCTCCCCACACAGCCCAGGGCCTCCACCAATGGGTGGGCTGTGGAGGCACAGCTGAGGGGAGTCTCCCCACCTCTGACTTCTAGGCTGCGCCTGGTGTGTGTCTGTCTAAACGGCAGCACGTGTGCACACCACACCGCCAGTGCAAGGGGCCTTGGAGCATCATGTGTCCCTGTCACCTGGCTTGTGTGGATGTGTCTGGGAGGGCCTGGTGCCAAATGAAGTTCAGGGCCTCTTGGTCAAAAATCACGGAGAGGGCTTCCCTGGTGGCGCAGTGGTTGAGGGTCCGCCTGCTGATGCAGGGGACACAGGTTCGTGCCCCGGTCCGGGAGGATCCCACGTACCATGGAGCGGCTGGGCCCGTGAGCCATGGCTGCTGAGCCTGCGCGTCCGGAGCCTGTGCTCCGCAATGGGAGAGGCCACGACAGTAAGAAGCTCCCGTACCACAAAAAAAAAAAAAAAAACAAAACATGGAGAATTTCGACAGTGGCAGCAGAGCGTCCAACCAGAGAGGGGTCCTGTGTGACATGTATCACGGACACATGTCACATGCCGGTGAGGCTGGGCCTGCTCCCTGCCCAGGGAGATGGGACCATGGCAGGACAGGGGGGCCTGCGTGAGCTCTGGGCCTGGAGTGGGCCGCCAGCCTTGCATGCGGCCTGTCTCTGGGTGCCCAGTGATGACTCCTGCACTCCTGTGTGTCCGGCCCCTCCCTTTAAGTCTGAAAACCTCCCCTCATGCCTTACAGAGTGACCTACCCTCTGGGCACCCAGGGTGCCCCAGAGCAGCCTCCCCGCTTGTTCTCCCTCGCCCTGGCCCCTCTGAGGGGCTTGTCCTTCAAACCGCAACTCTGCTCCCTCTCCCAGGACCGCCCACCAGGTTGGATCCCCCAGGCTGACCCCTGTCCTATGTGAGCTGCGGGAGCTTTGGGGTCCCCGCGCAGCGCTCAGCCCAGGGTGGGCCGCTGGAGAGTGTGCACCCCCGGTGGGTTCCAGCTGCATTCCCCGCGCTACTTCGATCTGGGCCAGGGGCCCGGGCCGGAGATGCCGCTAGTCGCCACCAGACAGCAACTGGGTCACCCCTCATTTGTATAGCGCTTTGCGTTTCGCTTGCGGTCGGAGGCCTCAGAGCCCGGCCGGCATTGGGGTCCTGGCGCGCTGCGGCTTCTGGGCAAGGCCCGGGCCGTCGCACCCGGGCCTGAGAGCTGCTTGGACGCCCGACCCCAGTTCCCTACCGCGCTTCCCGGGCCGGACGGGGAAGGGGAGGGGAGCGAGGGACGCAGGCGCGGACCGAGGGCCGAGGGCGGCGCGGGGGCACCGTCCCGGGGCTGCGATTGGCCGGCGCGGGGCGGAGCGGTCGGATCTGAGGGGCGGGGCGGAGAGGCGGGGAGGGGGTCCGCGCGGGGGCGGGGCCTTCGAGGATTGGCGGGCCGCCGGGCGCGAGGGCGAACGCGGGGCCCGGCCGCGGCCGGGGCCGGGGCTGCGGCGGGCCGGCCGGTGTCCCGGGCCCGCCGCGGGTCCGAGCGGAGCGCCGCGCCCGGTGCCACCGCGGGCCGGGGCGCGGAGCGTGGGACGGCCCCGGCGGCTCCGCGCGATGCGCCGCTCGAGCACGGACGAGTCCACGTACCGGCGCAGCCCGTCGCCGCCGGGCAAGGAGCCGGGCTTCGCGCGCGGCGGCCCCTTCTTTGGCCTGCACGCCAACCCTGGCCCCAAGGCGGCCCAGGCGCGCTACACGTCGCCCAAGGGCAGCAAGTACGTGGTCTTCTACTTGGACCTGTCCTTCATCTTCCTCCTAGAGCTGAAGCGCTGCAGCATGGCGCGCGGCTGCCTGCAGGGCGTCAAGTACCTCATGTTCGCCTTCAACCTGCTCTTCTGGGTGAGTGGCGGCGGGGCCCCGGGGTCGCTGCTCGCGCTGGAATGGGGGGGACACCCGCGACGCGGACTGGGGGGTGTGCCTGGGGTCGCCGGGGGCCAGGGCTGGACCGGCCCCTGGGGAGTGTTTCCGGTGCCGCTGGGGTCCGCCGGGCCTCTGCCCTGTGGGCGGCCGCCCCGCGTCCTCTCCCCTCTCTGTCTCTTCCTGAGACCGGCCGTGTCCCGCACCTGCCGCAGGTCGGGATGGGGCCCTGCGCCTGGCCTCTACCGGGTGTGAGCTCCTGTCCGTGCGCTGAGCCGCTGGTGCCTTCCCCTCCCGCCCCTTCCCTCCCTCTTCGTGGGCGCAGACCATGTCCTTTCTGCACTCGCCTCCCCTGCAGACCGGCCTTCCTGGCTCCAGGGACCGCACTTGGGGAGGGGCTGGGCAGGGGGTAGGGGAGACGGTCCCCAGCCTCCCGAAGCAGGGAAGGGAGAGGGTGTATGTGGGTGAGCTCTCCGGCTGGACCAGATCTTGGGCGGGATGAGGAGTCGGCGGGAGACCGGGGCTTTCATAACTTTCGCTGAGGTGGGTTGGGTTTGCTCAGAGGAGGTGCCTGTGTCCAGGGTAGAGGTATTGGTGCTACAGGGTGGCCCCTGTCCCCCCAAACTGGAGGACACAGTTGCCACCCAGACCCAAAGGGCAGGGAGGGTGTTGGGCTCGGGCTGTGGCAGGTGTCACACCTGAGCAACTAGAGCATGCCTGGCCAGGCCTGGGCCCCACTGGCTGGGTTGGGGGAGGGTTGGTGGAGAGCTGATGCCAAGGTCACTTTCTGCTCCCACCCTTCTGCCACAACTGGGAATGAGGGGGCGTGGTTTTCTCGCCTGCCTGGGCTCTGGACCCCAGAAGGAGGCTGTCAATTGTAAGCTCATTTGCATGAGGTCCAGTTAAGGCGAAATGCTCAGAAACCGGGGCTGCATTTCTGCACATCCCTTCTCTCCTGGACTCTGGCCTGGGAAGTGGGAGGGTTGCTGGGAGGCGTGGGCAGCCTGGGGGGCTCCTGCCCCAGTTGCCCCCTCCCGAGGCAGTCACCCGAAGAGTTGTTCTCTGCAAGGGGCTCCTGGGAGGGGCAAGGCCCGGGCCCAGAGCGGAGGAGCCCCCTGAGAGGCCAGGAGCCAGAGGCAGAGGTGGGTACAGCTGGAGCTGTGTCCAGGCATGTGCAGAGGCGACTGTTTTCTCTTGGCGGGGGACATTGACCAGATGCAGTGGGCACAGGTGTAGTGAGCAGTGAGCTGCTGGCAGGGTCAGTGTGCCTTAGGCAGTGTGACAGAAGGCTGCAGGTGACAGTAGGACCAGAGCTGGCAGCCGTAGGTGTGATGGTGGTGAGCAGTGAGGGTGGTGGACTGACTGGGGGATGGGCAGTGGGTGTGGGGGATGGTCCCAGGTGGTGGGCAGGACCTGCTTCTCCCCTTCCCTGACCTCCCCAGTGACCCGGGTACCTGTTTGCCTGGTAAACGAGAGGGGGCCCCTCGAGGGGGCCTGTGCTCTGAGAGCAGCCCACCCTTATGGGCCCCCAGGCTGAACTGCATCTGCCCTGTGAACCCTGAAGGAGCCTCCGTACCAGCTGCAGGGCGGACACACTCCACTGATTCCTGCCGTGGATGACGTCCTCATCGCAGGAAAGAACAATTCAGGAACCCCCTGGGATCCCCTCCTGGGCTAGAAAATCCAGTTCCCTTTTATTATCCAATTACACTCCCCAGCCAAGCAAACTGGGCCCCTGCCAGTGTGCTGTCTTGGCCTCTCCACACCCCACCTTGGTGCCCAGAGGGGTTCGAGGCCTGGGGGTCAGAGAGGGGGCCCATGGGAAACACGCCGAGGCCGGGGTGGTGAGCATGGTCGGGGGGCTGGCGGGACATCCTTCCCCCGGGCCCTGCGCAGCTGTCAACTAGGCCCTTGCTGCTGGTGACAGAGGCTGCAGGTGGGTGGGGTGGGGCTAGAGCACCCCTTCCCCCAGAGCCTGGCTCGTTGGCTGTCTGGGGGTGCGGAGTCCCCGCAGGAGGGGTGGGTTTCCCGCCCCCACCATCTCCCACTGGGAGGAGCTGAGGGGAGGTGGGAGTGAGGATTGCGGCCCATGGACCTGCTTGGAGGCCAAGAGGCAGTGACCTCCCCGTGGCTTCCTCCTGCCCCCCAGCCCGTGCTGGGCACCCCTTTCCTTCAGGAGTCACCTCAGAGCCCCCATTGTCCATAGGCAGATCCCCCGCAAGGCCCTGTCACCCACACCTGGCCCCATTGGGCACCTGCATGCCTGGCAGGTCTCCCTTCCCAGGCCTAAGCTCGCCTCCTCCAGCAACGCCAGCCCGCCCCTCCCCCTCTGTCCCCAGTGCGGGGCAGCGCCCCCGGCTGAGGATGGGGGAGGGGCGGGCTCTGAAGTTAGTTGACTCTGTGCTCCGTTTTTGTGGGGTTTTCCCTGGGGGCTTCTGGATGGGGACTGGAAGGGCAGGGTTGAGGCCTCCAGCCTCAGGTACCACTGGCGCTGGAAAGCATCACCCATCTGTACTGGGGTGGATCTGCCTGGTCCTGCGTGGCCTGTGGGTCATTGGCCCATCTCGGGAGAGGAAACACGCTTGCCCGTTGTCACCAGGGATTGCAGCTCGGGTGCCCTGAGACAGGGAGCCAAGAAGGTGCCGGCGGGCAGCAGGGGGCGCCCAGGGGAGGAGAGGCCCCGGTGCCGACCGACCCCCAGACCTCCACCTGCCCTCCTGCGGCATCCAGGCCCTCACAGGGCAGGGACAGCTCCACTGGGGACACAGCTGCCCTCCTGCAGGCGTGCACAGGTGGTGGGCAGCTTAGGGCCAGGGTCCTTGAGTCAGGGGTGTCTCCTGGTGAGTAGGGCTGTGTGCGGGGGTGGGGGCTGAGCAGCCCCCTGGGGCGCTCTCCCTCCCCCTCTCCAGCTCTGGGTGGGTGCTCGGGGCTCCCCCAGGGGCAGTTTCTGTGGCCCCAGGGGCGGTCTTGTTGGTCTGGGGGCGGTCCTGGGCAGAGGTAGGGCTGGCTCTGAAAGGGGAAGGTGCTTCTGGGCCCCCCTGGCCGGGGGGCCGCACCCAGGCCTCAGCCGTGCAGCCCAACCCGCACCTGCCCAGCTGAGGGCCCGGCTCCCTGCTTCCCTGGCAGGCGCACCTCCTGATCTTGCATCTGGGCCCCTCCCTGCTCCGCCTCCCGCTGCAGTGTGGCCAGGGTCTGTCTATTTGGCTGGGCTGGGGGTTGAGCCCTGCCTGCCGCCCAGGCTTCTGGGCAAGTCCTGCCCTCCTGGGGTCCTCAGTTTCCCCAGCAGCACCACAGGGGGGGCCTTGGTTTTCCCCTTTGATGAGCTACAGACCGAGGCCTGGTCTGCCGTCGCTGGCCTCTGGGCAAGACGCCCTGAGACTGGTGGAAGATGCTGGCAAAGGGCTGTGCAGGGCTGTGGGAACACCTCCCCCAGCCCCGCCGCAGTCAGGGAAACAGGCACGTGCAGGGTGCCCTGCCGGAGGTCCCGGCGCAGGGCCGGGGGCCTGCAGACCTCAGACCCCGTGACTCCCTTGGCCCCAGCCTTTTGGAGGTGCTGAGGGCGTCTGTGTGTTCTGGCTCTGGTTTCTTCCTGCAAGAGGCTGGGGCAGGGCAGTGGGGGTCCTGCTGCCTGGGGACCCCGAGCCGGGGTGGGTGGGCAGCCCGAAGCGGGGGTCCTTGGCCGTCCTGGTCAGGTCAGGGGTCAGTACGCCACAAGATGTCGGTCCTGCGTGAGCATCCGCTTCTGAATCGTCCTGCTCCCATTAGGGAGTTGCTGGCAGCAGGTGGTCGGGGGCCCTGGGAGTTCTGTCTGGGGCAGAGAGGTGTGGCCTCAGCCACTAAGCAGGGCCGGGGGCAGGGGAGAGGCCTGGGGGCCCGGTTGCACCTCGCCATCGTAGGCCCTGCCCCCTGTCTGCTCCCCGGCTGCCCTGAGGCACCGCTCCTCCTCCTTGGACACCAGCCTCAGGGGGTCCCTGGTCCGCGGGGCCACCTCCCTGATGGGCTGGAGCCTGGGGGGATGTGGGGCTCGCTGGAGCTTAAGGAAGCCGATGACAGTCAGCTGCATAGATGTCAGTGGGCAGCTTGAGGAGCTGTCACCTGGGGAACGGCATCCAGCCAGGATGCTCCCTGAGCCCTTGCATTCAGTCCCCCCAGCCCCGGCCTTGGGCCCTTGCAGACCTCACTTCTGGCACAGGGGATACATTTTGCCATTCTTGAACTTCGTAGAGAGGTGTTCTCCCCGTCTCCTGTGGCTGTTCTTGGCTGGGAGGGGCGTGTCACCCCACCATGCCCGGCCCCCACCCCAAGATTGTGCAGGCTGCCGGGGGAGGGGCTTCTGGACACAGGCTTGGCCCCTGTGGGCACCCAGCCCTCCACCCCGTTCCAAGGACCTGGCCAGCTGCCCGGCCATCTGCCACTCTGCCACCCTGAGCCATGTGGCTGGAGGGGCAGCAGTGGAGGGCCGGCTGGCACCCTCCCCACATGGGCCTCACCAAGTGGCCCCACCTGTCAAGACCTAGGCCAGCCCCCAGAATGTGTGGACAAGAAGAGAGACAGCAGGAAGTGGGGAGGATATGCCAGGCAATGGGCTGGGTTCCGGTGGGGACAGGTGGGCAGGGTGTGCGCCCCAGGTGTGTGCGAGAGAGACAGGGAGGCCCCGGCGACTGCAGGGCTGGGACGGGGGACCCCGGTGGGCGGGCTGGGCTCGTCTCCCAGGCTGTCGTGGGCTTGGGGTCTGCTCCTGGGCCCCGCCTGGGCCTCTGTCTGGCCCAGGCAGCGATGAGCGGGGCTGGGGATGTGCAGCGTGGGACACGGGGAGGGTGGGGATGGCCCCACTGCTGACGTCCCGGCCACCGTGTCCTGGGAGGGACCTGGAGCGCCCAGCCTTCCCCGGACTTCAGCCCCACTTGTCCTGAGTTTGATGTCCTGTCTGGGTCCAACAGGGCCCATCTTCTCCTGTACTTGGAGACTGTAATCTTCCTGCCAAAATGTTTTAAAAGCTGCCTACGCAGATTTCAAAATTACAGGTAGTTTTATTAGCCACGTGCATGCATCCCGTGAGTGCTGGGCTTCTGGTGACTGTGGATGTGCTGGAACAAGGGGGCGCCTGGGGCTTCGGGGCAGCGTGTCGGTGATGTGTGTGCGTGTTGTGGGTGAAACTGTGTGATGGTGAGGGACGTGGGCTGTGTGTCCGCGTCACAGTGCGTGTGACAGCAGCACCTGGGTGACAGCCGGCGGGTGTCTCTCCTGCCACCTCGGAGCTGGAGGTGAGGATGCTTTGTGGAGTCTTAATTGAAGAAATCTTGTTTCCACCAAGGCTGGGGGCAGCGCCCAGCTCCTCCAGGATACCCCCGACCCGGATGCCCCCCCCCACCGCCTCCACAGCGACTTTGCTGTGGTATCCTCCCCGTGCCCTTCCACGCGTCCCCACGGGGCCAGGGAGCTCGGAGGGGCTCATTTTCCTGCTGACTGGAGCCATCCGCGCTGCCCTTGAAGGCAGAGCCAGCTGGGCAGCCCTTTGGTTTTAAATAACAATTCTCCTCTCTGCTCAGAGGCAGCCCCACCCACCCCGCTGGGGCCCTGGCCTGGGGGCTCAGCCCGGAGACGTAACCCTCCCAGAGGGGGCGCTGCTGGGCTCTGCAGGGGACGGACGTGTGTGGGCTGGGCGAGGGCCCAGGACAGCCTGGCCGGTCGCTGTTTCCTGCAGCCAGAGTGGCCCGACTTCAGCTCCCTCCAAGGGGAGGCTGCCCCCACGCTCGCCCTCCCTGGCCTCTGCCCCAGGGTCCCTCCACTGCCCCAGTCCCGGCCAGAGGCCAGGGGAGCCCTCTGCCTGCGCAGGTCTGCAAGGGCGCCGCTGGCTGCTCCCAGCTCAGCCTTCCCCCCGGCGTCCTTGGAGAGCTCCCCGTTCCTCACCTGCAGGTCGGGTGGGAGGGTTGAGGGAGCCAGCACGTGTCCCAGCCTCTCTGTGTCCCATCACGGCACCCCCTGGGCAGGTGTGGGTGCCCAGAGGCGCTGGTGGCCAGCCTTGCTCCCTCATGGTGGCCTTGCCAGCGGTCAGCACCGTGGACAGCTCTGTCCCCGCACCACTGGCCGGGGCCTGCCACACGGGGGTCATCCCCATCCCACAGGTGAGGGCACACACATCTCCGTACAGCCAGCAGACCCCACCATACCTGGAGCTGTGCCCAAGCCCAGCTCTGCGGTGAGGCTGGATCCTCTGGGCCGTCACCCGCTGCCAGTGCCCCCAGCCCGGCTGCTGGCCCCCCCAACGCCCCCCACCCCACCCCCGGGCACACGCCCGGAGCTGCAGCCCCCACCCCACCCCGAGGAGGGCTCAGATGGGATGCAGGCCAGGGCACGAGAGCCCTGTCCTGTCTGGGATGCTTAGCGCTGCCACCCAGGCCCCACCCTCAGCCAGGAGCATTCAGAGTGGGTGGTTTATAATTTTTAGACAGAAGCTCTTGTTTTTGGTGGAAGGTGCAAAGAGGGATGGGGTGGGGGTCAGAGAGGAGCCCTGTGTTTGCCCTAAGCTGACCGGACCCCCACTGGGGCTCTCCTGGCCTGCTTAGCCAGCTCCGGGCGAGGCCCAGAGGGACCTTAGACGCCAGCGGGAGGCCTGGGCCAGAGCCGCGGGCGCGCCCACCCCTCAGGGACCCCGCGGCTGCTGCTGCTATTGGGCTGGGAGCTGCACCACCGCCCCCCGCCCCATAATTGCGGTCTCTTGCCGGCCCGGCTTCACGCACGGTGTGTGCTCCCCGGTGGGTTAGTGAGAGCGGAGCAGCGTCCCCCATCCCCACCCCTGTAGCCAGGGCTGCCTGCTGGTGGGGGTGGGGTGAGTACACGAGGGGAGGCCCACGGGGAGGCGGAAGCCTCCTCAGGCAGGGGTCTCAGGGCCCATCCGGCCTGAGTCTGGGGTGGGGGGTCCCTGCCAGGGTCAAGGCCAGATGTCGAGGAGGCTTCTGGGCCCGGGGGGTGCGGGGCCCCATGTGATGCCCAGTTTTGAGTGGGGCAGGGCCCCCAGGGCTGCCAGCCCGTAGGCATCAGTCCCCAGGTGGTCTCCCAAAGCCCAGGTTGCTGTAGGTCCAGGGGTCGGTCAGCCATGTGTGGGGGCCGCCCGCCCGCGGCCCAGCCCTGGACACGTGCTCCCGTTTCATCTGGAGACGACCCAGAGGCTCAAGAGTCCCGGAGGCTGGAGCCACAGCGCCCTCGGCGGCTGCGCTGGCTCGCCCCTGCCCCCCGCCCCCCCCAGGCCAAGACCCGTCCCCGGATTCATCACCGCCTGCCCTTCTCTGCCTCTTCCTCCTGTCTCAATCGATTTTTGTAATAATGAGCAATTACGGAGTTCAATAAAAGCTCCAGTGGTCGAGGGGAGGGGGCCAGGGAGCGGGCCGGCAGGAGCTCCAGGGACTGCATCTCCTAGGGAAGAGCTGGGGCCGAGGGTGTGTGTGGGGGTATCCAGCCCCTGTAACAGGACGAGACTGGGAGGTCAGCAGGGCAGCGAGGGTGCCCGGGCTCGGCCACAGGAATCTGGTGGGCTGCTCACCTCCTGCCCCCCTGTTCCTTTCGCCCTGTCCTGGGCCCAGCTGGGAGGCTGCGGCATCCTCGGTGTCGGCATCTGGCTGGCGGCCACCCAGGGGAACTTCGCCACCCTGTCCTCCTCCTTCCCGTCCCTGTCAGCCGCCAACCTGCTTATTGTCACCGGCACCTTTGTGATGGCCATCGGCTTTGTGGGCTGCATCGGGGCCATCAAGGAGAACAAATGCCTTCTGCTCACTGTGAGTCCGGGGGGAGGGGCATGCCGGGCAGGACGCGGTGGGGGGGGGGGGCGGTGCTCGGGGGAGGCCTCCCCTGAGGGACACAGACACAGACACAGACACACACACACACACGTGTGCCGGGCAGGGCCCCTCCAGCTGATACTGGGCCTGTTTCCTCCAAGACCCCCTCTCCCACGACTCCCTCTCCAGCTCCTGTCCCAGCCCTCTTGGTCCCCCAGGACCCTCAGCTTTGGAGACGGATTTAGAGGCGGGAATGTTAATCACAGATAATGGAGGAAAATGATCCCTGGGCCGGGCTCCCTACCTATCAGTGTGCCCAGCACAGAGGCCTCTGGCTGTCACCCAGGTCCTAAATCACCTGCTTCAAATGGGGCTTTCGTCACGGGTGGGGCCTCCAGAGGGTCTCAGAGGGCACGTCCCCCATCTGTGCAGCTTCCGCAAGTGTCCAGCACATGCCAGATGTTCCCGTCAGGGCTTGGACCCCTCGGAGCAGTGGGTAGGGTGTGGCTTCGGCCCCTTGGATGAAGGAGGAAGCTGGGGCGCGGGGGGGGCCCTGACCCTGGCCTTTCCCACGGGGTGACTTGGAGTTCGGAGGCTGGTGCCTGCTGGGGCAGCGTGGGCCCAGGTTGAGGGGGAACAAGATCGGGCACCCCAGGAGAGGACCGGGCCCGCTCCCCTGGCCCTGTCCCTTCTCCCCACTCTGTTCAGGGGCCCCATGGGGCCAGTGGGGCTTCAAAGAGCGGTGTGCCCCACTTATCCTGGCTTCTGGCCCTGCCCCCCGCCCTCCTTTCTGGGGGAGCAACGTGGCGGGAAAGGAGGTGCCGGCAGGCTCCACTGCTCAGCCTGGTTGTGGCGTCAGGGCTGTGCCTCTGTGGGTGCCCGAGTGGAGTCTGCCACTCTGTGAGCGGTCTGAGCAGTCAGGGGTCGTGGCTCCTCCAGCTTGGTCCTCCCTGAGTGGGCACTGCCCCCCCAGCTGCCCTGGGGGACGTGACCTGGGGGCTGGGGGGGGTCACTGCAGTTGGACCCACTCCCTGGATGGGGCCTCCCGGGGAGTCCCTCCACCCGGCTGCCCATCACAAGGACACAGACGCGGGCCACACACGTGTGCTTAAAGGTCGAGCGAGAGACGACGGCCCCTGGGATGGAGACGGGAGGGTTCCGAGGGAGGTGGGGCAGGCGCCAGGGGCCTGGCGGTCCCCAGGCTGCAGACCTGGCTGGGGGCGCCTGTCTCAGGTTGGGGGCTGGCCCGCTGAGGCTGTGGCCTCCCAACCTTCAGTTCTTCGTGCTGCTGCTGCTGGTGTTCCTGCTGGAGGCCTCCCTCGCCATCCTCTTCTTCGCCTACACCGACAAGGTACGGCTGCCTCCGCTTCGGGTGTGGGTGTGGGTGCTCCCCCCCCCCCCAGCGAGGCCCAGGCGCCGTGGGCGGCAAGGAGGCAGGAAGGGCCGAGAACCCACGCCAGGGACGCCCAGCTCTGCGTGGACAGACACTGGGAGCCGGGCCGTGGGTTTGCTTCTAACTGCAGCCCCAGGAGGCCGGGCCTGGAGGCTCCAGAAAGGTGTCTGAGCTCCCAGGAGGCCCGGGCTGGGTCCCCCACTGTCTCAGCTGCGTGTCAGCTGGAGGGGAAAAAGCTCCCATCCCCCACTCCCCTTCAGTTGCTCACTTACACAAGTGAGGGCTCATTTACGTGTGTTTTATCCTCTGGGTTATACGCCAAGACTGTTATTTTTTGCTCATCCGGTTTGGCTTTGGCGGCTGGAGCTCTCTGTCGGCTCCCGCCCCTTACGTGCCTCTCCGAGCACCTCCCTCCTTTCTGGTGCTAGAAGACGCTCCAGGCCCATCTTGGGGATTCCCCGCCCCAGCCCTGGAATCGGCCGTTTCTCCAGGGAGCCTGGTTCCTTTATTGGAGAACGAATGCTCTTAGGAACCAAGATCTGGGCCCTCTCGGCTGGCAGCACGGAGCCGTGTGGGTTGTAACCGGTGTGCGCAGACACAGCCCCGAAGGTTTCTGTGCCCGTCCGTCTCCATCTGTACGTTAACTAACGTGTCTGACTTGGATCCCGTGCTCGGCACCACGGGAGGCCCAGGGAGACCTTGGGGCAAAGGCCAGAGCCTGGTGGCACTTCTGGGAGGAGGTGACCGCAGGGAGGGGGACAAAAGGCACAGGGGGCCGGGGCGGGCCGGGGTCTGGACGAGGCAGGTGGAGCTGGCCACAGGGTGGCCCTGCTGTCCTGCAGATCGACAGGTATGCACAGCGGGACCTGAAAAAGGGCCTACACCTGTATGGCACCCCGGGTAACGTGGGCCTCACCAACGCCTGGAGCATCATCCAGACAGACGTGAGTCGGGGTGTGGCCGGGCGTGTAGGCGGGGGGCGTGGCCGGGGCAGGGACGTGTCCCCCTCCGGCGCACCGTCCCTGCTCACCTCTCCCACAGTTCCGCTGCTGCGGGGTCTCCAACTACACTGACTGGTTCGAGGTCTACAACGCCACGCGCGTGCCGGACTCCTGCTGCCTGGAGTTCAGCGAGAGCTGCGGGTTGCACGCGCCCGGCACCTGGTGGAAGGCGGTGAGCCTGGCCCCGGGACTGGGGGTGGAGGGCCGGCCTCGCGCCCTTGTGACGCCTGCTCTTCCCGCAGCCGTGTTACGAGACGGTGAAGGTGTGGCTCCAAGAGAACCTGCTGGCCGTGGGTGTCTTCGGGCTGTGCACAGCACTGGTTCAGGTGCGCGGGGACCCGCCCGGCCCGGGCCCCGGCCCCCCAGCATGTGTGTGAAGGCCCTGAGCCCAGGGAACAAAGCAGCAGAGTGTGGGTCCCCAGGCAGAGGTGGGGCTCACAGGGGGACAGTCAGGGACGACGTCCACAGGGAGGTGACCTTGGACGCCTCAGAGGACAGGCTGCCCCGGACTCCTGAGCAGAGGGCCCTGCCGTCTCCGCGTGGACAGAAGCACAGACCGGACGCCTCTACTAAGGGCCCACGTGCCAGCCCCATTCCTGCAGGCCCTACCCAGTGGCCGTGGTGGCTGGTGGTCACAGGACTGCCCAGTGCGGAGTGAAGTGGGCAGCCCAGGCCCTGGTGTGAAGTCCAGCCAGCCCGCCTCTGCTCCCCAACCCCCATGCAAGACCCGAGTGCCAGGACCCTGGGGGTGCAGACAGGGGTCCCAGACAGACACTCCCTAAGGGGTGAGGGGCAGAGGGCAGCTGCCGGGGGCCTAGCCTGGAACCCGTAGGCCCTGAGACCCCCAGCGGAGCCCAGGGTGGCCAAGCCCAACCCAAAGGGAAGGCGGGTCTGGGGCTGAGCCCAAGGGGCCCGTGGGCCCGTGGGGGGCAGGCTCTACCCGAGGCTTCCCCAGGGAAGGGGGCTCCAGGCCACCTGGGAAGCTGTGGTTTGGGGTTGGGGTGCCTGCCGCGGGCTGTCGTCCCTGGAGCAGCCCTGCCCAGCCCCCGCCTCTCCCCACAGATCTTGGGCCTGACCTTTGCCATGACAATGTACTGCCAGGTGGTGAAGGCTGACACCTACTGTGCGTAGGCTGCCAGCTGCCCGCCACCCCTGCTTCGCTGCCGAAGGACGTCGCCCCTGGGGAGATGACCGTGTCCCCACCTGCGTCTCCCGCTACAGGACCTCTCACCAGCCCAGGCATGGGGGCGGGAGGACCGGGCAGCCAGAGCCCCCAGGGCTGCCAGCCAGGCCTGTGAGCGCCGCCGCGCGGCCGGGGCTGCAGTCGGGAGGGGCTTCTGGCGCTTCTTACACCCAGGTACCCTCCAGAGCAGTGTGCTCCCCCGCAGCCCTGTGCAGGGCAGGGGGCTGGGGTGGGAGACGAGGGACTGACCACTGGTCCTGGTGCTCGAGGCGGGTCTGCAGCCCCGTCCACCCACATTCCACAGCGGGGCCGCGGCCGGCTCTGCGTGCGTCTTAATAAAGTGTGTGGGCAGCAGCCCCCGAGCCGTGTCTCTCACTGCCCTGACCCTGGGGGGGCCACACCAGACAGGCCCCGTGTGGCCGTGGATCCTCCGGCCACTGATACCGGCCTGGTGCCTGGAGTGGGGCTCCAGGATGTGCATGGGCCCAGCGGGGGGAGCTCCCTGGCCAGGTAGACGGTGGCCCCTGCGCCCGCAGAGGATGGCAAGAGAACCTCAGTGAGGCTGGCTCCAAGCCGTGGCAGAGGACAGCCCTGAGCCTCACTGACCCGCCCACGGCCCGTGCTGCGGACACCCCTCTCCCAACGTGGGGTGGCCCCCATCCAGCCTCAGGGCCTCCCCCTCCCCCAGGGGTGTCCTCCCAAAATGGAGCTCAGCTCCATCTTTCCTGTTCTCTTTCTATTCCTGTTTCGTTCCTGGGAACTTTGTCCCTTAAGTATCACTCACGGATTTTGCAAGTAAGTAGGCTGTTGGCAGTGAAGCAGTTGTCACAAGACCCAGAATCAGAGAAACGGTCAAACTGTGTCAAACCACCTCAGAGGTGGGGCGGGGCTTCCTGAGGACAGAGCTGACGGGGAGTGAGGAGGGTGGTGGGTCTGGGGGTCCAGGCTGGGGGGTGGTCCCCTCCCAAGGGCCTCACAAGCTGTGGGGCATCTGACCCACCAAATGGCACCCCATACTCTCAGTTTCCAGCCCATACTCCTGCCGGCCCCGCGGCCCCACCCCCTCTGCATCCTTGCTGTGTGGCAGACCTGCCTGGTGATGCCTAGCCAGGCACTGACCCCGGCACAACCCAGACCACCAGGGTGCCCGGCCCCTCTTGGCCCTTGGACCCCCACCCCACGCCCCACCGGCCTCCCCGGTCCTCACTCCACGGAAGCCACCAGAACGCCGGGGACCGTTCCAGCAGAAGTAACAGAGTCAGCGGTTCACGCACCGAAACCAAACTGTCCTCAGGCACCACAGCAAACAAGCAGGAAGGAAGTGAGCACAGTACAGCCAAGCTGTCCCCCCCGCCCTGCCAGCGCCCTCTGCCCTCTGCCCAGGCCCCCGTTCGCACCTCGCCAGCTCTGCTCGGTGAAAGCCGCTGCTCGCCTGTGCTCGGTCATCCCCGCGCGTCGTGGGGTCCCAGGCCCCTCCCCCCTCGCTGGTTCCCCGTCCTCCAAGCTTCGGCTGAGGAGCCTCCCAGGCACCCGGCATCCGGTCACCCAGCTGGCTCCACACCCCCAGACACCGAGCACGCTGTGGGCCCACAACTGGCCTTGCCCCCTCATGCCCCAACCCCTGCAGACCGCCCCGCACCGCGGCCCAGCGCCCACTCCCAGTGCGACGGCCTCCTGCTCCCCTCCCAACCAGGCCTTTGAAGCTGTGGGGACCGGCCTACAGCCCCGCCCTTGGGACCACAGCCAGGGGTGCGGCAGGCAGCGTGAGACTGAGGGCCTTGGGGAGATGGGCTGGCACAGGCAGGTGGGGGGGCATCTGACCTACCATCCCAAGTGCCCACCTGAAGCCCACGCTGGTATAAGTGGGGTGTCCAGGTGGGCTGCCGCCAGCCAGCCTAGTTTCTGCTAGGGGGCCACGAGTCCAGACCTCCAGCCCCACCACGAGCAGCAGGGTTCTTCCTTGGGACAGGTGCCGAGGGCCCAGCCAGGCCCTGACCCCGAGGACAGATACATGTCCCTTAGGACCCTCCCCCAGTCACGTCCCACAGCCGCCGCACCCTGGGCTCACGCACAGTGTCTGGCCGGCGGGGTCCAGCCAGCAGCACCACCACGTGCAGATTCGTCTGCTTGGAGCCAGCGGCCCACCGAGGGGGCGAGGGCTGGGGGTCCGCTGTCCTTCAACGCCTGGCAACCCAGGACTTCTCCCACTGCTCCCTCCTGGGAGCATGGCCGTTCCCAGTGGGCAGTGGGCCTGCGGCAAGCTGTCGTTCCACAGTGACCACACAGCCCACAGCACCACTGTGGGACACGGCCAGCCTCTCGGAGCCCCGGTCTCCGCCGTGGTGCCCCCACCCTCGCTGTGTGGTGCCCATCGGGCTCCCAGGCAGGCAAGCTGAGCTAGCACCTGCAGGGGGAGGCCAGGGCCCCTCTGCACGGCCCTGGGGTGACGCCCACCGGAGTGTCCAAGTGTCGGGGAGCCTGGGGCTGTCCCAGAGCCTCCAAACCCACAGCGATCTGCAGGCCGTGCAGGACTCCCTGCTAGCCTGTGGGGTGGGGACTGTGGGTCTCGCCGTCACCGGCCACCAGCGGGCAGACAGCCAGGGCCGGGCCAGAGGGGCCTGCATGCTCAGAGCCTGCTGCCCCCACCCCCCGGACTTCCCGCCCCATCACTGATGAGGCGCCTGGGGTCCCAGGCCGCCCTGACCCCGCCCGAGGCCGCAGCGCACACAGCACGGAAAATGGAAGAGTCTGTATTTTGCCTGTCACTCCCTCTGTCTCTTGGAAAAGCTCAGGCCGGCTCCAGGCCAGGCCTACAGCAGGTCGTAGAAGTAGTCCAGGCCCTGGCCCAGCTCCCAGATGGACAGCCCGACGCCCAGCTCCCTGGCCAGCTCTAGCCGCACCTGCAAGGACTGAAGCAGTGCGAGTGTCGGCCCCGCCCTGCCCGCCTGCCCCACCGTGGGCCACCTGCCAACCCCTGCCCACCACAACCAAGCTGAGGACCAGGGTTGCTGGGGAAGGGCTTGTGTCTGCTGCCCCCATGACCAGCGTCAGGACCCACACGCACCTTCAGCGTCGGGTAGAAGACGACGTGCCTCCCACCGCGGCTTCTGCAAGACAGCAGAACCCTCAGTCCGCCAGCCCGACTCCCACCCGCCTCTGCTCCTCCCAGCCCCACCCCCTTCCAGCCAAAGCCTCAGGTGCCCCTCCTAGGGCCAGGCCGGCCCTCAGGGGCAGAGGCCGAGCTCGAGGCCCGCATCACCTGGGGCTGCCCCCGGACACTCACTTCCTGTACTCGAAGAAGTGCTCTGCGGCCTGGCTGTCCCATACCATCTGGGGCCGGTGGTCCTTCAGCGTCTGGATGTACCTGGGGGAGGCCGGGTGTGGGTGCGGGGGCCCTCCCCTGCCCACCCGAGCACCTGGACAGGGTGGAGGTGGCCTCTGCCATCACGGAAGGGGTGAGGCCACCAGAGGGCAGCAGGATGCGGGGTGTCATCCCATCCCCCGATGGTCTGCGGAGTGCCTGCAGCACATTGGGCCAGGTGGGAGGGCCACGCGTGTGGCCCAGACACGAAGAAAAGTCAGGAAGCAGGACCATGGGACGGGGTCTGGAACACTCGGGCCAGGGCTGCAGCAGCCAGGTCCTCACTGGGGGTAGGAGGAGGACAGAGACCCCGAGAGGCTGCTAAGATGTGAGCAGAGGCCGTGGCCGTGCTTCAGAGCTCACGCCGCGCCCTGAGCTGGCGGCATGGTGTGCGGGTGGAGCGCGGGCCCCGCGCTGTGGGCGCAGCGCCTGCTGGGCCGGTGGTGCGGGCAGGCGCTCCCGGGGTCGGCCTGAGGGAGACTGCACCTGCTGCAGGAGAAGCAGCAACTTCTGCAGTTGCGGGGGAGGTTTGGGGCCAGCTGCAGGCCTGAGGATGAACGAGAACTGGGGGCAGCCTCGGCACTGCCCCCCCCGCCCCTGGGGGGGGGCGGACAACAGTCCAGGGCAGTGGTTTCTGGGCCCTTTCAGAGGCCAAGTTGTCCTCGGCCTGCCTCCTTGCTGTGGACACAGCTGCCCCAAGCCCACGGCAGGCCCCACCTCACTGCCAGGAGCAGGGGTTGAGAACCCCTCCCCGCCCAACAGAGGACACACAGAGGACAGGCCGGTGCCTAAGGTGCCGCATGGCCAGGACAACTGGGGTCTCCAGCTCACCCCGTGTCTTCCTGGCACGCAGCCGATGCCCAGACAGGCCGGAGACCTGCAGCCTGGGCCCAGGAAGGGGGCTGCGGTGCTCCAGGCTGCACCTTGCACATCGGCAGTGGGTCGGGGCTGAACAGAGCCCCCCATCAACCAGCTCGAATCGTCCAAGATTATTGCGTTATACTTAATTAGCGCAACGCTCTTGGGATGCTTGATGTCATCTGCAGCTTCTGATCCAGCGTCGGCTACGTGGCTGAGACAGGTGTGGGATGTGCGGGGATGGGATGTGTGGGGAAGGGTGAGGCATCCCGACCCAGCCTGTCCCTGAGCCCCCGAGGCCCAGGGCAGATGCTGGCGGGCAGGTGGCTCTGGGCCCTCACGTCTGGGGAGCTCTGGCTGTGCACTCCTCCTCCGGGGCTTCGCCTCAAAATCTGCTACCTGCTGGAGGTGGTGAGGCTGCGGGGGCGGCTGAGGCTGGGGGTTCAGCCAGACCCCTGAGAGCACCTGGTCCCTCCCCTCTGAAGGCCGAGGCTTGGCGGTGCCAGGGCGGGGACCACACAGGCCCTCACACTCGCCTGGGTGCAGCCCCGGGAACGTGGAGCAGCAGAGTGGGGTGTGAGCCAGGGTGGGGGCGGAGGGACAGCTGTGCAGGCGGCTCCCAGGCAGGCGGTCCAGGAGGAAGAGCAGGGCCACGGGGGCTGAGGGTCGGGGTGGCAGGGGCCTGCCTGGGAGGAGGAGGAAGCCGGGGCGGGGTGGGGATGAACGGAGGGAAACGGTACCAATGGGCCCTGAGCGTTTCCCTGAACTAAAGCGGAAGGCCTTGGCCACACGCCGGGTGACTCTGTTTCCACGAAATGTCCGGACGAGACGAGTCCACAGGCAACGCAGGTTAGTGCCCCAGGGGTGGGGTGGGGTGGGGGGCTGCTACCAAGCGTTCTGGAATTGGAGGTGGCGGCTGCACAACCCTGAGAACGGACTAAGTGCCGCACAGGTGTGCGCTTTGCAGTGGGGGGTGTACGGTGCGTGACTCATACCGCCCCCACTCAAAAAAGTTCTCGGGCTTTGGAGTGAAGAGTTCAAGGAATGGCAGACAGAATCGTAGACGAAGACACACCAAACGGGTGGGTGGAGGATTCAGGGCACCGAGACGAGGTGCACGTCCCCCAGTTTCCAGAGGAGCGAGCAGAG